ACCAAACCCTGGGGGGCAGCCTCACTCTTCTCTCTCACGCCTTGCACCAAATCTGTCTTAAGTCCCATTTTGGCTCTCCCTTCAAAGCACACCCAGAATCCAATCCCTTTTCACCACTGCCAGCTGCCTCTCACCTCCATGATGGCAGCAGCCTCCTCGCTGGCCTCCCTCCTTCACCTGTAGTCTAGTCACCAAGCAGCAGCCAGAGAGAGCCTTTTAAAGAGCGACCTTGTGGGGCCTCGTGTGCAGTGGCTGTAAACAGCAGCCTCCTCGGTAGTGCACACGGTCTGGTTTTTGTCCGGGTTGCCCTAAGGGACCTTAGAGACAACCTTTTCCAATGGACATTCATGTCTCTGACCTCGTGCTGTCCTCAGTCTAGGCTCTAGGGCACCACGGCCAGGGTTTACGCTGGGCAAATTGTCATGTCTACCTGCACCAAGCTGCAAAATGAGAAGCATGTGATTGAGGCCCTATGCAAGGCCAAGTTCAAGATCTCTGGCACCAGAAGGTCCACATCTCAAAGCAGGGGGGCTTTACCACGTTTCATATGGATGAATATGAAGACATGGCGGCTGAGAGGTGGCACATCCCAGATGGTTGTAGGGTCAAATGCATCCCCACTTATGGCCCCCTGGACAAGTAGCAGGCCTCATAGGGGGCTCATGAGGGCTTCCACTGTGCAGCCCCCCCTTACTCATGCCCCCCCAATAAATCCTACTTCTTGTCTAAAAAAAAAAGTGGGACCAGACCACCCTCTGTTCACATCCTCCAATGACTCACACATTGCTCAGAGTGGAAGCCAAAGCCCCATGGTGGCCCAAGAGGCACACATGCTCCACTTCCCCCTCCCCCTCGTCTCCTTGACCTCATTGCTTCCCACTCCTTCCTGTGGTCACGGTGCTGCAGCCATGCTGGCTTCCAGGCACATTTGCACCACAAGACCTTTGCACCTGCTGTCCCGGCTGCCCAGAATGTTCTTCCCGCAGACATCTGCATGCCTCATTCCCTCACCTCTATCAGGACTGTTCAGGTGTTAGCTTCTTAGGGACGCCTACCCTGACCACTCAGTTTAAAACTCAGACCCCTCCATTTGCTCTTCCAATCCTGCTTACCTTATTTTTCTTCCATAACATTTATCACCTTCTAAACGACTATCTGAGTCACTTATTTATTATGTCTCCTGTCTGGTTTGTCCCACTAGCAGGTAAGCTCCTAGTCTGTCCTGTTTATAACCCGAGCGCTAAGGCAGCAGCAGGTGGGCAGCCCTCAGGATGTATTAGCTGATGGCTCAGTGGATTCTACCTAGCAGGGAAGCATCTGTCTCCTGCAGGTGGAAGGTTGTGCAGGGATCCCCAGGGCTGCAGGGTCTCCCAGGTTGGGGCACAGCTGGCTGGGCACAGGCAGCAAGAGCCTGGCAGGCCCCACTGGTCCTCTATGGGTCCTGCCATCTATAACTGCTTAGGCCTCACTGGGACCCCTTCAGGCTCTGCCCTGGCATTGGGGCTGCAGCCCAAGGGTGGCCCTACACCTGCACGCACGACTATGTATTTGTTGGAGGGGCGTGCGGGGCACTTTTCCCCTGGCTGGGACCCCCCTTACCCCAAGTATGGTTGCAGACATTCTCAAGGATACTGGAGTCCCAGATGTCCAGATATCAAGCCTCACCTGGAGCAGCTGCCCTCCACTCTCCAGACCTGGCTTTGTTCTTATCAACAACGTGGTGGAGTTGGCATGAGAGGGCACTGCCTGCTCCCACCTGCACTGTCCTTCCCCAGCACAGCTGAAGTGGCTCCACACTGCTTCCTTGCCCCTACGCACACTGCCCTGATGTGACTTGTGTCACCTGCCTGGCAAATGCCTCTCCCTCTTTCAAGGCCACTGCCCCACGGGGTTCTCCAGGCCTTCTCCAAGTCGGTGCTCAGTGACTCCTCCACCAATACAAATGGCAGGACCTGGGCCTGGGTGTTCTGCTTGTGAGCAACTCAAGGTCACTGGACAATCAGCCTGGAGCAGGTCCCCAGCACAGAGTAGTGAAGAAGCTCCAAGAGGGAGGTGGCCTTAGTGAGCTGGGCATCACTGCTGAGTGTGCCCTGTCCCCACCCTAGACCTCAACTCTGCTGACACTTGGGGCCAGGTCATTCTTTGCTTTAGGCCCTGTCCCATGCTGATAGGAAATTTAGCAGCAAACCTGGCCTCTACTCTCTAGGTGCCAGTAGCACCTTCTAGTTGTGACAACCAAAAAATGTCTCCAGACATTGCCAAGGGTCCTGAGAGGCAAAGTCACCCCCAGCTGCCCCAGAGACTCTCTTGGGCTCTAGTCTCCTTGTAATAGGGGAGGGATGAGCCCCAACACATGCTAAATCAGTTGGATCTCAAAGAGGAAACCGGCTACAATGGCAGGCACAGCTTCCTGCCCACCAAAGTGAGGAGCAGAGAGGGTCCTCTCCTCAGCTGGTGGCTGAGTCCAGGGGCGGCAGCCACAGCCATGAAGGAACCAGAAACATGAGTTTCCTGATCTGAGCCAGGGTCCAGGGTCATGACCCAGAGCCTGCAGGGGCCTGAAGAGAGAGCTGTAGGTGAGGACTCTGCTGCCCCATCTGAGTGCCTGTCAGTCCCCTGTGCGTCTGGCAGCTGCCCATCCTCTAGGTGACCCGAGGAGCAGGCTGAGTCAGAGACTGGCCAGGAGCTGGGGACTCCTCCTGCTCTAGCACAAGGTACAAACGACTTTGACAGAAGGCAGCAGACAATGGAAATCACGCTCTCGCAGACAACCTCAACTCACATGTACTTAGGCGCTGTGGGAACACTCAGTCCTCCCAGCAGCCCTGTGAGGCTGACATTTTATACCCCCTTTACAGAGATGGAAACAGAAGCATAAGGAAGTTAAATCCGTTCACTCTTTCAGAGCGATTTCCTGAGTGTCAACTAGGACTTGACCAAGGTCACTAGCCGGTGAGACAGTGCTGGGTCCCTGGTGCTGCACCATCTGACCACAGAGACGCCCAGTGCCTCCAGGAGCAATGAGGGGTGTCATCAAACAAGACTCCCTGGAGGTCCCACCACTGCCCCAAACAAGGCAGCTCTGCTACTACTTGTCCACAAACGATTTTGCTTGGGGTAAAAAAAAGGCTTTTCCTACTGACATTCTGAGAGTCTGAGCTTGGAAAAGGCAGGAACTTTGGAAATTACTGCCTAAGCCTGGGCCCAGTTTGCATCTCCCACTTCTATTGAGGTAGGTCACCCCATTCTGAGTGAGTCAGAAGCGGATTGATAGCCTGCCCGCTGGCCAGGGGCCCTGCCAACATTACAACAGTTTTCAGGAGCCCTCCGAGTCCCCAGTTTGGCTCCCCACATGTAGGCCCAGGCCTCTGCCGCCTTCTGGGGACTAGTGATGAGCTGGAGCAGAGACCAGCAAGCTGCGTCCCCCCGAAAGCTGGCATGCCACAGCCGTGGGGGACGTGCAACACCCCCAGGGCAGCCGCTCGGAGAGCCTTTGAAACACAGACAGGATATATTTTAAAGTCATCTAGCATCGCCCCGTACACGTGCAACTGTATTTCCTAAGGCCATCGACTAGGGCACACAATTTTGTTCAGACCCACTGACCCGCGGGGAAGGGAGAAAAGCCAGGCAAGGGGAGGCTGGCAGGTTGCCTGGTGTGGGGGCATCACCCAGCTGCAGGCAGAGCATAAGATCTTGCTCCCTTTTTCTGCCTCCAGAGCTGGCTCTGCAAAACCATGTGCAACTGCACTTTTGCGTAATTAAATCTCACTTTAAAGGCACCTGAGGAGACTTTTGGGGTCAAAAGACTTTGTGCTAAGTGAGTTTTTTTTTTCTTTTACATTTTATATTTTAATTTGGTTAATTGATCTTTAAAAAGTGGGGGCATACCTAAACTCGCCAACAGAAAAGTTAGCTGAGTTAGAGTAAGTTTGTCACACGCCCAACTGGCAGAGCTCTTACGATTTTATGTGAATTTCTCCCATCTGAGGGGGCTGGCGTTTGGGGGCAACTGTCGCAACACCATGTCCCCGAGGGACTCAGTGAGACTCAGGCTTGCTGGGAGGCTGCAGGAGCACTTGGCACCAGTGGGCATCTCCACAACAGGCTCTGGGGTGTCCGCTGGAGGGAGGATCAAAGGTGGCTTAACTCAGAGAGGGGCTCACACTTCTGTAGTGCATGCGGGAGCTTCCCATTCAGAAATCTCCAGATCAATGCGCAACCAATACTGCCCCCCCCCCAACTAGTCACACATCGGAGGACGACATTTCTTTTCCAACCTGGTAGATCTCACGAGAAACACCCTGAGTCACAAGCACGCGCAGCAGCCAGCCCCGCAGAGCGCTCCCCCTCCAGCGAACGCTGTCTAGAGAGGCCCCTTTTCAGCAGCCCTGTCATTCCAGAGACCCACAAGCCACTGTCCCCTCTGGTGGTTCACTGGTGCCCCCACTCATCCTTCACCTCAGGAGTTGGGGTCAGAGTGAGATTCCCACAAAGAAGGCAGAGGCCAGACCCTGGCCACGTGCAGGCCACTCGCAGAGGTACCTGGCCGTGGTCCTGGTTGCCCAAGTGCCACTTACTAGGCTGCTACCACCAGCCTGGTGCAGCACCCAGCACCATCGGCCACCACTCCTGGCCCTCACGACAAGCCTGTGACACAGGTGACGGTGTCTCCATTTTACAAACAAGGAAGCAGATGCCAGGGCGGGTAAGTGCTTGGCTCAAGGGTACATGAACAGTGAGGGTGACAACGGCAGGTGGGAACGCAGGCCCCGATGGAGCACTTACTGTGCTCACCAAGTGGAGAACAGAGAGTGGCACCTGTGCCTCCTACCCCAGGCTTCTGCCCGGAAGCCACGTGCTGGAGAAAACTCAGGAAGGTGGAGGGACAGGTACCTCGGGGAGTGACAATTCTCGAGGTGCCCTTTGGACCCCACATGACAGTGTTTGCTGCTTTTCCTCAGGCCAGAGCCCTTTAAATAAACACAACCCACACATTCTTGTGTTTGTATAAAAGATATTTACTTCAATTATCACACCTAGGGTGCTAGTGAATAATAATAATACATGGTGTGAGTTTCATACAGTGATATTGCTTCTCCATATCATATAGGGACCGTTGTACAGTGCTGAGAACAAACATCGTATGGCTAACCAAAGACAGAAGGGACAGCGCCGAGCGGCCGACGGGTGCCTCCCCCACCCCCACGCCAGCCAGATCAACTTTGACTCTTAATGTTGAAAACAAATAGCAAGAAATAAAATGTTATTAGAGATGAGTCACAGCAACACAACAGAGGCTTCTCAAAAGCTATTTGTACAAAAATGACGCCTTTTTTCTTTTTTTTCTTTTTGGTCAATTGGGGGGTCTCTGTGAGGATTTAAAAAAAAATCTGTGATTGTGAGTATTAACAAACGAGCTCTAAAAACATCTAAGACTTAGTGCGTTACAGAAAATATAAAATACTGCTAAAATGTAAGACACCACAATCCACTGGGGGGAGCTGAGCTTATTAAGAGCTGTCCGGAAGATTCGGCCACCCTGTGCGCGCGTCTTGTGCTGTTAGTAGTCTGGACAGGAGCGCGGCGCTACCCGCCCTCACGGCAAGTAGTTATTGCACAAACGCAAAGAGCTAGGTCTCTTACTCAATGGAAAGGGACGTGGGGAAAACCGCCTTTTTTTTCCCTCCATTTTCATTTTATAATAAGCTATTCTCAAATGCTTTAAGAATTTTGAATGAATTCTCACGTCTCCAAAATGCACAGCATTTTCTGAGGGGTCTCAGATGGGGGGGACATGAGACGCCCATTTTCTCAAGGAAAGAGGTGGAAAATGGTTTGAGAGAGAGAGAGAGAAATGCATAGACTAATTAGAGAAAAATGAAAACCCTTTGGTGGGTTAGGGGCAGGTGTTTTGTTGGAGGGCTTTCTTTCAAAGAAGAGAACAAAATCAGGACCCCCCCAACAACGTCAGGGAAGGGGAGAAGTCATGGCCTGGAAGGAGGTGCTCTGCCGAGTGATTCAGGGGTCCGGTGGGTCCTTGGCCAGTGGAGCCAGCTGTCGGGCCCCACCTTGGGGTGTGCAGGGCCCCTGCCTTGGCCTGGGGGAGCTTCCTTCTGCTGGGCCCGTGGGCTCAAGGCAGCCCCACCTCATCCTTACACTTGGTTAGCAAGCAACTGGATGTCTCACTGGCCATGCCACTAGACACAGAAAGCTTTCTCCACATCCAACCTTCTTCCACATTTAACCACATTAAAAGGAAAAGGGGCTCCCCGCCCATGACCTCCCAGGTGAGTCCTCAAGCCACAGCCGGTACTAAGAAACACTGTTGCTTCAAAGATGGTTTTGACCAACTTGGTATGCAAGGAAAACAACAACAACAACAACAACAACAAAAACCAACCAAAACATATCAACCCATGTGAACCTTGCAAGAAACATTCTCTCACTTGGACGTGACTGTCTGCACCAGGCCGCTGTGCCCTCTCTGACCAGGGCTCGCCACAACTTCATGAACCCAGAAGTCTTACCGGAGGCTCTAGGAGGCTTTGGGGAACTGAACTTGGCTTTTCTAAGTTTCCTCTGCAGCTCCTCACGAGAGTGGCCTTGAACCAGGCACTCCCTTCCATTGGCAGATTTTTGTTCATAAACTCTCTCGTGTAAAAAGTTAGACACATAGAGACCACCAGTTTTTGAGTGGCTACTCTGGAGACAGGTGTTTGACTCTGCTGGAGAAACCCCCTCTGCCCGCCAGACAAGTCCCCAGACGCTTCGGGTCTCTCGGGGAGGCGGGAGGGGAGGAGGCAGAGGACAGTAACCACTGGAGTGATAGCAAAAAGCATTTATAATAACAACAACACAAAACAATAATACACTCCTGATAAGTACTTAAATGATTAACCTAATAATAAATAGAAGAGGATAGAAATAATTTTTTTTTTTCTCAAGGAAACATCCTTTTATAATTATCCTCATGCACGCTGGCAGGTCAGTAGCAGTTAGTCCATCTCAACAAGACAAGGTTAAGTGCTGGAAGGGATGGCTGTGGTCTCAGACACTCAGGAAGGGTCTCAGCTGTGGAATCACAAACACCCGCCACCCTGCCTCACTGGGCCAGCGCTTCCGGCCACAGCCCGGGGACGCCGCACGCCCAGCTCCGTGGTCAGTGACAGGCAGGCTGGGAGGCTGAGGGGGTTGGGCGTGGCCTGTTTTCCCTTCGGTTCATGAACAAACGGAACTACAGTGAACATACTCATCCACAACCTGAATCGTCCTGGTCTAAAGCTTACTTTGAGTTCATTTGGTGTGCAATACGTTATCTTTTAAAAATGAAGAAAAATGATTTCTATTGCACAGAGCTTTTACACATAAGTCATCCATTTAAGTGCTTTCTGTTTAAAGCAAACTACACACACACACACATAAAAAAAAAAAGACGAAAAAGGGGGAAAAAGGAATTATAAAACAAAAGCAGCTCCGCGCCACTTCAATGCGTCTTGCTGAATGGTGTCTTGTTTCACCGACGGAAGTCCCGAGGCTTCCGTACATACACACTGTGCTTCTGATTATTTCCATAGGGATGTAGCTGTGACATTGGGGTATAAGGCACCTTTCCTTTCTGATCACAGAAAGCTTGATACATAGCATACAGCATATTTTGTGGTAGAAATTAAAGCCTAAACACTACAGAAATTACAGTAACGCAGACTACACTTCTTAACAATTATTGAATAAACTAAAATGATCCATGAAAAATAACTCAAAGGCATTTTAAAAGTTTAATAACAGGGGAATGGGGAAGTGCACATTTATGCATAGCCTCATGTCTTTCTCTCACCAGCCTCTTTTTTTCAGGATTTTTTCGCCTACAATGCCCAACTTTTAAAGTTAGCATTTTGGAGTAGACTAGGCGCTTTGGAAATGTCTTGTTAAAGCTAAATGTCACTTCATCCAAAAATGAAAACTCGAAATGATGCCACTGATGGCATGGACATGGTCGGTATCTTTGGAGGGGAGGTAGCGGTGGGTGAGGCCAGGGCAGGAGGGGCAGTTCCTGGGAGTGGGGTGCACAGGACAAAGTCGCATTTTCTTCTACCCCCCTGGCCAGGAATGAGGTGCACAGGCCATCAGGGCTTCTGGGGTCAGGAAGACTCCGGGCTGGGGCTCAGTTAACATTTGGCTTCCTGCACCCGTCATCCCCTTTCTCTTCTGTCCTGACGGACCCCGAGGGTCCTGGCCTTAGCTTCTAGCCCATCTCTAAGGATTTCACAGCCTGGATCTTTTATTAACTTTATTGGGAACTCGTGTTCCCTTTCCCAGTAGTTTTCATCTACAAAAAAAGCAAAACTTGAAGGGAATGGAAATAGTATTGTCAAACTGGACCTCACATGCTCTCTTAGCACGCAAGTGTGCCGGCCAAATCGGCACTGAATGCACTGCGAGATGAAACCATGTCACTTTAGAGTCCCAGGCCACTACCTTACCACTTAGGGCACGAGCTCTGCTCTGGTGGTCACAAAGGCTTCCTTAATGTTGTCAAGACCCAAATGAAACTGCAGAAGAGCTGGCAGGGATTTCTAAATGCGAGCTTTTCCTGGTAGATGCCCAAGTACATGATGACAGCACAAATCCTCAGGATGCCACTTCCAAATTCTCTCCCTCAGGCGAACACTTTGGCCACCAGAGTGGGTGGAGTTATCAAACCAGCAGCCTGGGAGCGAGTTTTCTGCAGAACTGGATGGAAACTGGCAATATTCTTCGGGGGAGAAAGGGTCATGTGACTGCAGGCTGCAGAGAGCCAGCTACCCTTTTCTGTCCTTGCGATATTTGATGTCTGCAAAGGTGAACTTCCAGCAAAGCTGAACCAATGATCCCCAGTGCCAAATACAATTGACACTGGATAGCTACAGCGTACCCCAGTGCCAGGTAGGATCATGGGGAGGCATCCTCATGTGGCCATGCAGGGACAGCCCAGGGCAAGCAAAAGGGCTGTGGATGGATCTTAACAGCTGAGCAGGAAAGCAAAGGCAGACCAAAGACAAGGCCCTCTGAGGCCTGAGATGGCCCCTCCCTGTTTGCAAAGGAAACAGCTGCTGGAGCTTTAGGAACAGGTGGAAGTCAAGAGAAAAATCCATGTGCCTCGCAGAGCACAGCTGTCTGTCCATGTTGTGCTCACAGAAGAGACAAAAAGCCTGCTCACCAGGCCAAGAGACGCTAACATGCGGTAGCTCTCCCACCCAGCCCCGAGCCCACATGCCTCACAGCGCTGTGGGGTGTGGTTCTGACTGACGTCACATGGCGAGCAGGCTAGTGAGGTAGAAGGGGATGATGAGGAGTGTGAAGATGAGGGAGGGCAACCAAGGAGGGATGGGGCCCCCCGAGGCGTGGTGGGAGCCAAGCCTCCAGCCTCAAGTACCGTAGCTAACAGCTCTCCCTGCACAACTGGCCTGGAGGCCCCAGAAAGCTGGGCCTTGGAAGGACTGAGGGCATACTTCAGATTTTACTGGCCTGCCGAGAAACACACGTCATAGTGCATTTAAGGCAAAGGCCATTGTCCCTCAGCCCAACAAGATCCAGTAAGTCACTATCACCACTTTGCTTTGTGCTAATCCCAGAGGGATGTGGGTATATTTCCCCAGGCTCTGCTGCTATTCTTCAGTGAGACCTGTTTTTCTAAAATCAGAGGAATGAGAAACATTGCATAGAATGTCAACAGAGTTCATCAATCACCCCTGTATAAAAGGACATGAGTTCAGGAGAAACAAAGAAATCCAGTCCAACTTTAGTCAGCAAGGCACCTGCCTGTGACTGAGCTCATCTGGTGACTCCTGTTCCCATCTCTCTTTAGGCACAACCATGGCACATGGTCTTAGGATCGTTAGCCACTTCTCTGGATTACAGCACGACCTGCTTCCTGCTCAGTTTTCTCCTGAGCTGCATGCCTGACCTTAGCATTAGCCAAGAAGGCAGACGGGATGTGTGAGAGCTTGCCATCTGGTCCTGGGGGGTGTCCACAGAGGAACACTCAGCCCAGAGTTCTGTTGCACCAACCAGCAGATCTGCCCGGCCATGTCAGACAGGATGGTTTCTAAGTGCAAAGGAAACAAAGACGCCGACAGGAAGGAAACTGGGCAGGGAAGCACTTGTGCTTTGGAAGGACAAGGGAACTGTTATCTTTCTCTCAATTACTTTCATAGACAGACAGCAGCGTGGTTTGATAGCCATCCTATGAGTCATGATCCTGGCATTTCTCAGAGATTTCTCCCAAGCCTGCATCCTGCTCTGATCCTGCCCCTGCAGACTCTTCCCTGGAGATGACCAAAGCCACCTCATGAGGTCATGCACCTCAGGCAGGGTGGCAAGGAGAACAGGGTTGAGCTACGCGGCCTTGATGAGCCTTTCTAAAGAAGAGAGATCTGGTGAACAGAAACCACAGATATCTTGACGGATCCAGAAATTCAAGAGGGGAGGTTGGAGGTTACCTGGGAGCTAGGTGGGGACAGAAGACTCTCTTTTTTGGGGTGAAGTAAGCCACAGGTCTAGGACAGAACCCACACACCTGCCACCTTGGATACCACAAAGGAACGTAGGCAGGAACCAAGGGCCAAGAGGCTAAAAGTGAACACTGATTTTATGCTGAGCTTCCACTTAGCCCGCTAAGTAATGGCAAAAACCTTATGTTATGAACACTGCCTCCAATTAACAAAAAGAAGCCATTTCAAATGGTATAATGGAGCTTGTAATTAAGTGTTAGTGTTTTATATGGAACCGTTTCCCCCAGGGGAGAGGTACAAATCAGCTTTTTAAACTGATAGAGCGTAAAGAGGAGGAGGGTCGGCTGCCTGCTACTGCTTGGAACGCCAGCCAGCGGAAGGGAGACCACACCAAGAGGACACTGTTCAAGGCACTTGAATATTGCTTATCAAGATGAAAGATTAACCCTTAGACTCAGACTGAGGGGCCCAAAGAGGAGGGGGTGCGTCCCACTCCACAAGTTGCTGTGTTATTTAGTGGCAGCTCTTAGAAGTATTACAGACAGTGCTAGCTTAACACAAAAGATCGTAAGGTTTGAACTCAATTAAAAGAAAAATAAATAATAGGGGAAAAAATACAATCACAGAACTGCAAGCAAAATTTAACCAACTGATTGTGTCGAGCACCCAGATGTAAGTCTGGCAAAAAAAGACAGAATGGAAATCAACAATAACCTAGTTAAAAATTAAAATTAAAAAAAAATAACAAAAAATAACAAAAATGATTAAATTGCTTGGAAGGGCCAAAGTGGCTGTTTTAGACTGTTATTATTTGGCCACTAGAATGGAGAAATTTATATTTTTTCAATTTCCTCAGATTTAACACCTTTGTAAATAACAGTCATGCCTTTAAAACTAAAACACTAGCCTACTATTTCCCGTTAACTCCCTGCTTTTCATTCTAACGAATATTAGATGATACTTAGAGATTCATCACACATGATGACAAAAGTCCCTCGAGGTTTTCGTGGAGAGGACACCACAGTTCTGTCGGCGGCTCTGCTTCTCACTGTCCTAAGGGTCACTGATGCAAACTCACTCTTCTGAATGCACCTGAATCGAGCCAGATGTGGATCCATTTCCCCTTAAGCTCCTCCATTTTGAATTCTCTCCTCACTGAACCAGATTTCAAGTTCAGAAATGATGCAACCATCAAAAGACAAACAAACGGCCTGCCTCCCAGCCTCCTAGAGCCTTCTGAAAACTTCTCATTCATGAAAAGGCATTGTCTTTAGTGTAGTGACTCTTAAATTTGTGAAAACTTGAACTAAGTGCTGCAGTTGCAGGTTAAAAGACTGTAAATGAAATACATAATCTCTAAAACATCATGCAAGAAATGTGGTTGCACATCTTACAGTCAAAGTCCTACAAGTTAATTAATAACAAGCACACTGAGGTGTAATAGCGGGAGCATACCTTTAAAATTATAACTCCCTCCCACCCCCCCAAATCAAAAAAAGTAATATTAATTAAACTTAAGAAATAATGAATGCACCATTAAAATGTCATCCAAAGATGTTGACCTAAGACAAAGGTTTCAATGATACACAATACGGTCAAAAAGTTTTCAATCAGTAATATACAGTATGACAACTACATCTTGTAAATTATACCCAATACTGCCGGCAGTCTATCCCTCTAAAGAATATTTGCCCCTTTCATCCCTTCCTAACAATCAGATAATAAAATACAGCACCTATAAATAAGCAAAAAAAAAATATATATATATATATACCGAAATCATCTATTGTTAGTTTAAAGATATGGCAATAAAGGAGTCTAAATTAGCAAACTTGTAGAAGCCATAACTGATAAAACAGCTTATTGAAAAAAGGTGGCAGTAATGCACTCTATGTGTGCACAGGTACTTAAGAAAATACACAGACGTATAAAATTGCACACACACACGCACGCATACACTCATCCACCTCTATTTTCACGCATATACACATAGACAACAGGAGGAATCAGAGACAAGTTAGACTTCTGATTTGTACTTAGACTGCCTTAAACTGTGCATAAAAGAACTTTCTAAGAGGTGAACTGAATGCAGGGCAAATGGTCTGGCATGGAAGCGAAGAGCATCAACGATTTGGTGTGAGTTTGGGCCATCTCTATAGGGGTGGGAGGGGAGCTCAGACTGTCACCTTCTCTCTTCTGCAGGGAAGGAAGCTTCCCACAAATTCAACAGAGTCATCAGTGCTTGTGGTGGGAAGAAAGGGGAAGAGAGAGTGCGCAAGAGCCCTGCCCAGGCCCAGGGAGCATCTTCCCCTGGGAGGGCTTAGTCCATCAGGTGCCCAGAAGAGTGGTGTGAGGTGGGGTGCCTTCTGTGCCAAGGAAAGACTTGTGGACTGCTGTCTACACAGAACTGCCCGCTGTGACCTTGCTGGCCTACTCTTTCCTCCTTGCTTTCAATGCTCACACCTGTGCAGACGCATGGACACAGATAGACACCATAAATTAAACAAAATGAACAGATACGTGCTACAGTTCTAACTTGTCTCCTAAACCTCCGAGATATGAGGTCTGATCAGCGTGCTCTGCGGTTAGAGGTTAAAAAGCAGATTATAAAATACCTAGATTCGGATCTTTTCTTTTTGTCCTGATTTGGCCTAGAATGGAGTGTATTAAACAAACTCTGGTCAGCAAAAGCCCAGAGTCAGTTAAAGCTATGGATCAATGTGCACTACATGTCAGGATTCTATTCACGTACAAGAAAACACTACATCAGCTACCACAAAATCAGATATTTTCCTGATGTGACTTTTCTTTTTGTTAAAAAATATGTGGAGTAAATGTGTTTTATTTTAATTCAAAGTTTCAAACGAGAAGATTCTTTTCTTGAAAATATTTAGGAATCCAAACTAGTGTGTTTAGAGTCGGTTTGACTGTGCAATCTCTTAGTGGCAACTGAACAGCTACAAAAACTTTCTTTTTTAATTTTTCTGAAAAATCCCCCCCCCTTTTTTTCCTGGTTTAAGAAGATAATAGTGTATTATCGCTCTGAAGCCATTAGATGGCAGATAAAAAGCCCCCTTTTAATATGTGGGTTTGACTTTTTTTTTTAAAGCCCACACGAAAGAGGAGGGCGCAAGGCAAAGCTGTAAGAGTTATTCCAGAACCTGTGGAAATCACTTAGGGCAATAAAAAAAACACTTCAGGGTACAAAAAAGCTCGACTACACATTTCCGTTTTCTTCCTTGAAAACACGACATAGATTGGGCTTAATGCTCCTTTGTTTTCTATATGCACCTTGGCCTATGGCGATTTTGCCCTGTGGCCCGCAGGGCGTAAGTGCGCAACACGGTCCCGGCCGTGGAGTCGGCGCCCGCCCCGGCCCGGCTCGGCCTGACTCGGCCCGGCTCGGCCCAACTCGGCCAGGCTCGGCCCGGCTCGGCCAGATTCGGCTCGGCTCGGCTCGGCCCGGCTGGCGGGGCTGGCGGCGCCTCTCAGAACTCCCATTCGATGGGTTCCTCCCGGCTGGCGGCCTTCTCCAGGCGGTGGATTATGCTGTTCAAGTTCGCGGCCTTCTTCTTCCTCAGGGGGTTGTCTCGCGAGTCCCTGGCGCCCGCCGCCTCGGGCAGGCCGAAGAGGCTCTGCAGCGAGCTGGGCCTGCGGGCGGCCGCGGGCGCGCTGGTGCTTGGCAAGGTGGAACTCCTCGGGGCGCCGTCCCGGGCCACGCCGGGGCCCTCCCCAGACGGGGCGGCTGAGGTAGCGGCGTCCTCTCCGGCCGCGAGTGCGGCGGGGTTTGGCAGGGGCCCCGGGCCGTCGGCGGGGCCCTCGGGCGGCGGCCGGGGCCGGCCCTCTTCGTCCGCGTCGTCGGGACCCGCGGTCCCCGAGGACGGCGGCTCGGCCTTCTCCGCGGGCCGCGGCGCCTCCTCCCGCTGCGCCTCGGCCGGTCCTCCCTGAGACTTGGTGGCGGCTGCGGGGCCGCCCGGCTCCTCAGCGTCTGGGGCACCCGGGCCGTCGGCGGCTTCCACGCCGGCCTCCACGCCGTCGCAGCTGTCGCCCTCTGAGCTGGGCGCTGCCCGGCCGCTCCGGGCCGACGGTGAGTCGCTGGCGCCGGCCTGGCCCTGGCTCCCGGCCTGAATTTCTTCAATGAACAGTTCTCTGCGGATCCGAGACCTACGAGACAGAAGCGGCGAAAGCCCGTGAGGTGGCCGCTGCGCAAGGGCCGACAAGAGGCCCCTTCCCTCCGTCGCGCTGCAAGCTCGTGCTCTCACTCCCGCCCCAGCCTGGCTGCCCCTCTGCAGGCCCCTAGACCGACCCTGCAGCTGCAGGGGGCTCCCGCTGTGGCCAGACCCTGTGCACTTGTGTAAGCTGTTCCTTGCTTGGAAGGCCATTCCCCTCTTCTCCACTAGGACAAAGCGCCAGCCGCACTCATTGAATGGCACGCTTTCTCCATCCCATCCCATTTCGCCTCCAGCTAGACTGTGAAAGGCCAGCTCCCATTTAGTTTTTGTACACCGGGCCTAGCATGGTGCCTGGTATACAGCAATAAATGCTAGCTGAATTCATAAATAGCTGCTTGATAACCACTGTGTCCTCCTCAGGACTTCGGAGAGAGAACTGATTATTGAACAGTGGCCAAAGTGAAAATCTTCAGCTTCCAGCTCTGAGCCACAGAAGTCAGGGGCTTGTGGTTCAGGCTGGGGTGGGATTCCACCAGATTGTGTATTTCCAAGCAGTTCCCTCCTCTGAAGGGAGAAGACCAGGGAAAGGTCACTTGATCAAGCAGGTAGGAGACCAAGTATGTGCTTTGACACATCAAGTGAGTTTTAATGCAGCTGAGTTCGGCCTACAGTGGAAAATGTGCTTCTAGTACTTTGCTGGGACACTGTACTCAGTATGGCATCCCCCATTGTGAAGCCATTAGTGTCACCATGAAAGGGCTCTTGTTAAATCTGTTCCCAAGTTTCTCCTCCCATCATGCGAAGAGTACTAAGGCTCAATCCCACCTCTCTCTGTTTCTTCCTAAGGGCTGAAAAAGCCCCTGAGAATGTGCAGACCATTAGTGGAAAAGCATCTTCAGGTGAATTAGCACCAGCGCCAGGCCCAGTGTCTTGCAGAAACTGGGCCTGCAGAAAGCCTGGGGTAAGCAAACCATTTTCTGTAGTATATATAACTCAAAAGTTTTCTGAGCGCCTACTCTATGCCAGGTCCTGTGCTGGCTGTGGGGACTCCGTGGGGAGAATTCTGCTGCAGTTTAGTCTATGACCTACAGTAGGTTATCAGAACCCTGGGGGTGGTGGTTAATCTGTTGCATAGTTATTTGCTTCCTGCATAGAGTGAGTTCTGGACCTTGTCCTGAAGATTTTTGAGCTCTAGTTCAGAAAGGTGAGGTGCTGAGAAGGCCCCCAGAAATTCCCAGGGGAACACAAGACTTTCCTTCTTCTCTGGGGCTTTGGGAGACTGGGAAATGGCAGCTCTCATGAACAGCTTCCTGGGCACTATGGCTTTCATGCCCTTTGGCAGTGAGAACGCCAGTTGGGGTGAACCCATTACTGCCCATCCCGGTTGGGGAGGTGGGAGACTAAACAGGTAGTTAAGGTTTGGTCCTAGTCAGGCCCAGAACAGAGTACAGGCTTTTTGGAACCAGCCAAACCTGGGTTGGAAACCTGGCTTTGTCACTTATTAGCTGTGCAACTTGGACAAGTTAACCTTTTTGAGCTTCAGTTTTCTTATCTGAAGAATGTAGAGAACAGGATCTTCCTTGCTGAGACGTTATTACGATTAAACAAAATGTTAAATGTATAATATAGGGTACAAAGTGACATGCCCTAAAAGGGTCACTATCCTTCCTATCTTGCTGCCTTGTGTGTGGTGTGGTAAGCCCTAAGGCTGAGGAAAAGGGCTAGGTTGGGAAGGGACGCCTTTAGGCCTGGGACATGGGTTTCCATACTTGCCAGTGTGGTTGATGTGAGCAGCAATTGTCTGTAAAATGGGGCCATCAGTGCTGCACTCAGGTGCAGATTGGAGGATTTTATAAGATGATACATTTATAAAATTCTTGGCTCAGTGCCTGGCAATACTATGTGCTCAATAGATATGAGACATCATCCCTCTTAGCCTAGATTTGCCTCCATGTTCAAAAGGAATGCTATCTTCTGGTTTAGAAAGATGAGATAAAGTCTACGGCCACACCACCCTGAACGCGCCCGATCTCGTCTGAGATATTAGGAGCAGTTCTGGCTTTTAGGCAAGTCACCCAAGGCTCACAGAATGCCATGGCTTTTAGGGCTCAGAAGTTTCTGCTGGGTGAACCAGTTTTTCCAGGAGACCAGTGTCCTATGGCGTGATGTTCTGGCACTCCTGGCTGCATTCCTGAGCAAATGGTCAGCTTGAGATACTTCTCATTCCCTTAAGGTGAAAGCATAAGAGGAAGAAAAGCTTTATTTTTTTGATGGGAGCAAAAATTGACCCCAGGTGTTATTCCCTGAGGGTTCCAGTGGGGCAAGAGAAAATAAAATCAACTTTTCCTGTTTAACCTCAGAGGAAAGAATGTAAAAAACTGCCTTCTTTGATAGGAATTTAACAAATCCAGTGCATGGGTGCTGAATGGTGAGTGTTAGTCCATGTAGGAAGCTCTGTCTGGTATCAAGGAGAGTTGGTTTGTTCTAAGCATTTAATGGAAGAACTAAAACCAAGGAGAGAGTGCTCAGTTTGAATCTCCACTCAGCACTTGACTTGCTGGGTGACCTTGTGCAAGTGACTTAAATTCTCTGAGCTTTATGCCAATTCTAAGTGGCTCGATGCTGACTTCTCCTTTAACTTGTTTTGTGCCTTATAAGATTCTTCTCTAGTTCAATCTTTCCTTTAAGTGCCTGCTCATTTCCTACCTCTTCCATATTTTTCTAGATGTCTGCAGCTGACATTAATCTCTGTCCTTGGTTTTCCTGTTAGCCTAGCCTGCTTTGTTGTGGAGTTATATTTGAAAGAAAGCCTTTATTGAGCATCTACTCTGGACCCAGACTTGTGCTCATTTAGTAAGTTTTGAGGTCCTATTGCTATTCTTCCTTTCTTCCCCTGCCCTGCTATCTTTGCCAGGGGTGAATTTTGCTTGGGCTACATGCACCAAAGTCATCTCTATAGTGATCAGTGCACTACCATGTGATAAGCATTACCATGGCTGTCAGGAAACCAGCAAGATAAGTAACAGTAGCTAAGAAGCCCCAGGGAGTGTGTTCCAGCCAGGAGACAGTGATTGCCACTCAACTGAGGCGGGGTGGGGGTGCTTGGGGAAAAAGGTGGACCCAGGAGGACCAGGGGAAATGGTTTTGGAGACGTTTTGTGTAACTGGTAGCACCGATGCTCAGATACCCAATAATCTAGAGCTACACATGCTTCTGTGTTATAGTAAGTTATACTCACATTAAAATGGACATAACTTTCAGGAGACTTGAAAGTGCACATTTTAATGCACTTTTGTGTCTAGAAAGTGAAAATGGGTTTGCATAACTCCTGGCAAGGAGAAACTCCAGTAAACCTCTGCCCACGTTTCCACCATTCATTCTCCTTCATTTCACTTATTACTCTTGAAGTTTCCTTCCATGTACAGGGAGCTCCATTATTCTAACTGCTGGCCTCCCTCTGCCTCTGATTTTATCAGATTGGTAGATCTGGGATGAATAAGCCAGTTGTGCTCAGATCCTGGACTTTCTCTGTCCCTGTGGGAGTCAACAAATGGGGAGGCCTGCCTGGGGCCAGTCTGCCATCATGAGAAGTGCCTGGGTCTGGGGTTTAAGTAGCAGGTACACTCAAGCTCTCTCACACTAAACTGCATCTCCTAACTTTGCCTTCACTGGCAATAAAGGTATGATTTTAGCTCCCTTCTAATATTTTAAAATTTTCTAATTTATTCAGAACCTGGGTGATTTATTGGGTCCCTTCAGAAACTCCAGTAAAACTTATGGATGAGGGAGGGCCCAGTCAGAGATACAGCTCCCCTCTCCATGGGCTACACAAGTATACTGTCACCTTGGTTTAACCAGAAGGACCTACCTCAGTTTCACTAAGCCCTAAAGAAAATGATGTTCTGATGAGAAGCAGCAACTGAGCCATTAATTTGGGAATTTCCATTAGGCTACTGGGATTCTTGGTTTCTGACAGTTGGGGGTATGGTTATAGCTATGACCAACAATTCATTATCCTTCAGAGGATTTCCATTATCTACTCCAGATGTTTCTTCCCAGTCAACTTTGTTCTACCAGAATGGCACCGGGCCTTTACCTGCTTAGGCAAGTTATTCCCTCTGAGTTTTATATTTTCCATGTGTAGAATGAATATAATAGTGTATCCCTTCTACAGTTGTGAGGAGCAAGTGATGTAACATTGTTTAAAACACTTGAGATCTAAGTGATACTCAAGAAATCTTCATTAACTCATGAACTTTCCCAAAATAAAGGGTCTTAAATGATTTATCAATTACAAAACTAATCATTACTAATTTGGAAGGTGATACTGTAAAAGACCCCAAGAAACAAAAAAATCACTAGGAAATCAGTGTTCATTACTGGGAACCACAGATGCCTATACTCTCCCTTATTAAATGGTACAACCAAAAGGTGACTTTTTTTCCTGGTCCTGGTGGATGTGGATTGTCTCTAATTATGTGATGGTGACTGGAAGGCATTTGGCTATACATCTTTGGAGGTAAAAATTCCAATAAAACAACATGAAGAACCAATGAAACGACCAAACCCCTGATTCTTAGTCCCCAGAGCCTCATTCCCATGCGACATGGATGGCTCCTCTCCTCAGTACAGACCAGCCCCTTCCTGAGGGCTGCAGGCAAGGCTGTACCTGTAGTTGTGGAACCAGTTGATGACGGTGCTGGTTTTCAGGTTGAGCTGGGTGGCGAGGTCTTCGATGGTTTTTGGTGATGGGTATGGCTTTTGCTGATACGCTCGTTTCAGGGCTTCTTTTTCTTCTGGAGCCAGCACCACTCGGGGTTTCTTTAGCTGGTGCTGGGGCTGGGGGCTGGCGCCCTGGCTGTAGTCAGTGCCGACGGACGGGGGCTCGCAGGGCTGGCTGTCACTGACTGAGCTGTGCCGCCGCTTCATGTAGGCTGGGGAGGGAGGGAGAGACGTCAGACTGAGGTCAAGGCCCAGCTGTGAGATCAGCCCAAATCCCTGATCTCCACTAGCATGACACCACAGTGTCGCCTGTAGTGACCTTTGTGTAGAGAATCTCAGAACACTTGGACCAGGACCATTCCGTCACCTAGCAGAAGCTCACTGAGGACCTGCTCTGATGGAATGTGAGGTCCCCACGTGTCCCTGTACAACTTAACAGTTCAGTGGGGGATGCAGAGAAGTGTTCAGATGGATGCCCACGGTAGAAAACAATAGGGGAGAGGCCAGCAGGGGGGCTATAGAGGAGGCTTTGAGGGAGGGGGATTGAGGGAGGGTCTCTGAGGGAGGGAGGATGCTCAATTTGGCCTGGGGAGTCTTCCCAGAAGAGATGATGTTTAAACTGAACCTTGAAGGACAAGGACCAATTAACCAGAAAAAACAGGCAACAAGGTAGAAGATGGCAAGAGGCTGTTTAGAAAGTGGGAACAGTATGTGGAAAGCCAGAGACACAGAATAGCATGGTTAAAGCGTGCATGTGTGTGCATGCATGCGTGTGTATGTGTGCACATGTGCACAGAGTGGGGTCACAGTGGTAGGAGCTGTTGTTAGACACGAAGCTGGAGAGACAGGCAGAGCCAGGGCAGGACAAAAAGCAATGGAATAAATGAAAATATTTTATTAAAAGAGCTCAGGAGGAGGGTCTGGGCTAGAGAGAAGAATGTGGGAATCACTAGGATAGAAACTGGCTGAAGTCAGTGACAGACGGGAAGCCTGGAAAACCAGCACACAAGGGACGATCCCAGGGAGAAGCAGCCACAAAAGCTTCAGAGAGATGGGAAGAACACAGGGAACAATGTCATAGAAGGCATAAGTGAGTCTCAGGGAGCGGGTGGCCAAGAGAAAGAGTGACGAGGACCCAGGAAGTCCTTTGGATTCTAGTCGGAGACTGGGAGACCTAAGTGAATAGACCCAGGCTGCCGGCAGGCTGGAAGTGAATGGGAGGTGAGGAAGTGATGGTGAGTGTGATGCCTAACTGTAGAAGAAAAGCAAGAGACAGGATGGTTTCTAGAAGGGAAATCCTGGATGGTTTTAAAGATAAGAGCACTAGGTAGGTTGGTGGGTTTTCTGAGTGAGCATGAAAATCCCGCTGGATGGGGCAGGACGTGGGGTATGGAGGAAGGCAGTGACCCCAGGGCCTAAGTCTCAAGACAGAAAGTGACCAGGGGGCTGGTTGAAGATGAGGAGGGGTGGGGAAATGGCTGGAGCAGGGCACAGGGCTTGGGAAACATGTGGCTGGCCTGAGGGCTGGCCTAGAGGGACAGCAGAGTGCCTGAGGCTAGGGCAGAGGGCCCTAGAGGGACAGAAGGGCGCCTGAGGCCTGGGCTGGCAATCTGTCTTTGTGCTGGGGAGTGAGGTGTTCAGGGAGGCAGAGACAGGCTCGGAGTCTCAGCGTGTGGGGCCTACCACTCTAGCTGTGCTTGGGTGGACTGGTGAGCCAGGGCAGGAGAATGCTGGGTCTCAGGTTCTGGGGTGTTCTTAGTGCTGCACCTGCTCCTCTCTGCTGTGTGCCAGCAACTGCCAGTTGTGCTTCCAGTTAAACACCACTGACTTCTTTAGTAAATGAATCATTTATATGGATCTTTCTAGTGAGCTAGTTTGGAATATGGTCTGAAAATTCTTTAAAAGTTCTTTTAACTGATAGAAGATGAGAACGATTATTTCCTTCAAATGGCATGTCACTGAGCAGCAGTGTCATCAGCAACAGCTGCAGCTGACAGTTATCATTTAGTCCTGAAGAAACTGAAGCTCAGAGAGGTTAAATGATTCATTTGAGGTCACACAGCCAGTAAGTGACCGCACTGAGGTCTGATGTCTGTCTGCTGAGGGCAGTGCAGTCTGCCCTGCCAGATGGTGGCTAGTCCCCCTACGCCCGCCTACCCTTCGGGGCTGCAGCTGTGAACATGCACTGAGACAGTGTCTGTGGGAGCCACAGCAAGCTAAGGAGCGACAGCAGCAGCACTGACATTTGGGTCTCAAATGTCAAGGGAGAAGACTACTGATTGCCAGTATGCACCTAGCCACTAGGGCCAAGGCACTGGTGTGTGTGTGTATGTGTTTGTCCATCACGTGTATGTCCATGTGTTTGTGAAGAGGTTGGTTCAAGGGCTATCTCATGAAAGGAACAGAAAAATGCAGGGCAGACTATGGTAGAGAAGAATGTTTATAAGAAATAAAGAAATAAAGACAGAAATAACAGATAAAGGATGAGAACTAACAGGAGAAGAAATAAAAGCTCTATGGGAGAGCAGGAAGCATAGTGTACACATGGACATACAGTCTGGATGACCTGTTGCTGCATTTTTAATCTAGGCTAGACTGGGAGGGGGAGGGACATAATTTATGTTATAGGAATACAGATTATTTTGAAAACTCTCATTTACTTAGCACTTATGTGTACAGTTGTTATACTAAGTATCTTCTTTCTACTCCTCCCAACCTGAAGAAGTTAGTATTACTATCCTCATTTTATAGATGAAATAACTTAGGTGAGGGAGTTATGTAACTGTTTGGCCATTTTATCATTAGAAGTAGACAACGATTGGGAAGGTAAGTCTTCACAGAAAACTAGCACAGCATCCTGAGAGGCCAGCAAGGAATGACTGTGCAGCACTTGCCATCGCCCTCCCGCTGGTGTGCAGGGTCACTGCAGAGAGACTGGGCTGTGGGCACTGGTGACAACCTCTCTAGGGAGCAGCTCCCTGGAACACCCCCACTATCGGAGAGAAAGCAGTGCCTTCCCTTTGGGGACCTCGGCGGGAACAGTAACTCTTTAGTAACACAAGATGGCGCCCAGAGCCCATGTGGGGGGCAGAGTGGAGGCCTGGGAGATCCCTGAAGATGGATTTGGGGGACTGAGGTCCATTCTTCTGGCCAGGGATGAGAAATGCACCAGGGAGTGGTAAAGTCAGGACTGCCTCTCTCCTGACCCCCAGGTGCTGGGGGCAGCAGTGCCACCAGGCTTAAAGGGGCAGGGCTGCCTCTTGACAGAGTGTAAGAAACGTTTAAAGTGCTTGGGTGAGTACTGATAATGGTGGACACTCAGCAGCGGATACACTGGGTTTATGACACTTTTGTTTATGTTTAAAATTTCCCATAACAAGAATGTGAAAAATCTTTTAGGGGATGATGTGGCACTAGGCCTCTGAAGCTTGCAGCACTGCCTGGAGTTGCCCAAGAGGTGTGGCCTGTGTCAGACCCACTGTCTACACACCCGAGGGCAGGCCAGGGCCCTTTGGAGCAGCTCTCAAGGGGTGGAAGGCCACCGCCTGGGTCCATGGCCAGTGGGCAGCAGCAGTGCCCTTGGATCCCCGTGTGGCAGGCTCTCAGAACAAAGGCAGCGAATGTATACTTAAGAATGCCAGCTCTCTAGCTTGAGCAAGAGTGAGACCCCCGTCTCTACTATAAATAGAAAAGAAATTAATTGGCCAACTAATATATATAGAAAAAATTAGCCGGGCATGGTGGCGCATGCCTGTAGTCCCAGCTACTCGGGAGGCTGAGGCAGGAGGATCACTTGAGCCCAGGAGTTTGAGGTTGCTGTGAGCTAGGCTGACACCACAGCACTCACTCTAGTCTGGGCAACAAAGTGAGACTCTGTCTCAAAAAAAAAAAAAAAAAAAAAAAAAAGCCAGCTCTGAAGCCAGATAGCCCTGAGTTCTGCTCCCTACTTATACCAGCTGTTGGAATCAGGGAGGTTCCATGAGTGCCTGAACCTCACCGTTACCAGATAAGGACACTGACATGGGGATACAGTTGGGTGCACTGAGTGGTCTCAGTACAGTGCCCAGAAAATGGAAGTCTCCATTACTGCATAAGGGCCCAGGCCCACAGGTTCCTGGAGGATATGTCAGAGACTCTTGCTCCTTCTCCACTTCTTTTCCAGCTGGGTGAGAACAGTGATGGTCAGTTGGAACCTCCTGGTGACCGGAGAGGACTGGCTCAGCTGCTCTGTGGGTGGAGCCAGGCTGAGCCGCCCAAGTGCTTATGGGACGCCTTAGTTAAGGGCCTCTGCTTTCACTGATCAAAGGAGGTGGTCACAGCTTCTTAGGGTTGGGCTAGCAGCTGTGTCCAGTCTCCAAACCTAAGGGATTCAGTTCAGCTGCCCAGTGAGCTCATAGCACTGCAGGTGACCCAAGGTCTGTGGGCCCCCGAGGGGCAGACTCCCTGTGGAGGACCAACACTGGGAACTGCAAACATGAGGCAAAGCGAACTCGACTTTCCACCACCTAGGTACTGCCCCTTTGGGTTTTTTCCTGTGTTGCATCTTACAGGCTGCAAGATAGATGCTAATCAAGATTCAAGATGGCATTTGGATGCATTTGGAGTTATTCCTCTGGTGAGGCTGTAACCCTAGAGGCTAGCAAACAACAGCAAGAGAGAGATCTGTTCTGGCAGGTATTTGCTCTGCCACTTTCCATGCTGGGTGACCTTGGTAGAGGCACCTAACCTCTCTGAACCTAAGTTTCCTGATCTACAAAATGCATTTCTTAATTCTCTAATTAAGAGAGATATATCTAATTCTCTAATTAAGAGAGCTATATCTCTAGTAAGATAACACATGAGAGCCTCTAGCACATAGTGCATATGCAGTAAATGTCATAATACCCCACCCAGTCACCCACAAGACAAAAGATAGTAACCAAATGAACCAATACCCAGTGCTGTGCTGTATTCTCTTTGGTTAAAAGCACTCCCAATGCTAAAAGAAAATCTTTAGATTCAGGCTGCAGGAAGGAAAAAGTCACAGATCTTCCCAGTCCTCTTAGGTACTCATTAGCTGATGATTGTCAAAACCTCTTTTGTCCTGTCTTACTGTCCTTGGTCATGGGTCAGTCCCTCCTCAGCTGTGTGTGAAGGATTGAAAAGAAACAGCCCGTTTGTAAATGAGAAAGCAGTTTGTGGGGCAGAGTGGGGAGAAGGTACCTTTCTTCTCCATCCGTTTCATGTCCATCAGCTTCTCCACATTGTTGGGGTCATTCAGCCATAGCTGCATCCGGACAAAGGGCTCCCGTCCCTTCAGACTGAGCTTATGCCAGGGCTTTGGGCGGGCAAGGAGGTCAGAGACAGAGCCTTGGGTGAGCCCTAAGATGGTCTCCCCAAATAAGCGCTGACCTAGAGAGAAAACAGAATGGGGATAGGGTGTCACCAAGAGCCAGGGATCTGAGACAAGACTGTCAAGATTAACACCTGTAATCCTAGCACTCTGGGAGGCCGAGGTGGGAGGATGGCTCGAGCTCAGGAGTTTGAGACCAGCCTGAGCAAGAGTGAGACCCCGTCTCTTCTATAAATAGAAAGAAATTAGTCACACAACTAAAAATAGAAAAAATTAGCTGGGCACAGTGCTGCGTGCCTGTAACCCCAGCTACCTGGGAGGCTGAGGCAGGAGGATCGCTTGAGCCCAGGAGTTTGAGGTTGCTGTGAGCTAGGCTGACGCCATGGCATTCTAGCCCAGGCAAAAGAGTGAGACTCTCTCTCAAAGGAAAAAAAAAAAAAAAAAAAGTCAAAGTTAAAATCAGACACAGGAGTTTAAAGGCCCAGAGTCAGGCTAGCTGGGTCCTGGCTTAGAGCAAGCACTTTGCAGAAACAGTCCCTCAAGCAGACTTCTACCAAACTCCACTGGCAAGGGAGTTGGTACTGCTCTTTCATGCTGCTTATACACAACAAATGATGTGAGACCTGGATATACTTGTAGCATATCTCAGAGGCAGTAAAATCCCTAAACCCAAGCTCAGGAGGCCAAGTAGCAACAGGAGACCTTTCTTGTACAACCTCAAACCAGGGGGCTGTCTGCATCTCCTTTCACAATTAGCAAGGTCATCAGGTCTTGCTGAGAAAACAGGGCACTTGACCCAGGGGCACAGCAGGGAAGAGGAGGAGAGGGCTCCTCCGCTCTGTGTGTTTGAAAGGCAGGCCGCTGCCAATTCGAGTGCTGCAAGCTTCAGAGGCCTGGTGCCACATCACCCCCCAAAAGATTTTTCATCTGCTCCTGCAGTCTAAGCTGCCTTTGCTAAATGTGGCTCAAAGTGGATCAAAACCCCTTCCCTGATAAGCTTTTCTTCTCCTAGGCAGGGGTGGGCAGCCGGCTTCACAGGCTGACCAGAGGGCATTTCGCTCTGGAGAGCACAGCGGCATTAAGTTGGCCATGTTTGTCAGGGGCTTAAAAAGAAAGGTTTACTTCCCTGAGAGCCATTCAGCTGCCAGTTAAGAGGGCCACTACTTTTAAAGATACAAATTAGAATCAGTCATAACCTGACTGACCTGACGGGAGAACTAGCAAGAATAAGCAGGACTTAACTAGGTGGAAATAGAGGTTGGGATCAGAGAAGCCAGTGTTTGGTCCCATAAAGCGCACAGAACAGGAAAACCCAGGGCAGGGAGCAGCTCTCCCCCTCAGAGGCAGGGGGACCGGTGGACTGGCCTGTTTCTTGGCGCATGTGCTCCATTGGTGACAAGGAAACACCCCACCTGTGTTCCCAGGGAAGCTGTAGAAGGCCATGACATAACTGGCTTGTAAAAAGCAGCCATCCATGTAAAAGTTTACCGTTTATAAAGCTTCAGATTGGAGAAATTAATTTTTTTGGTATCAGTCGTTTTAACTTAAAGATACATTTACCGATTTTGTAAACCTGTGGTTTCCCTGCTTTCCAAACTCTTAGGTTAGCCTATAAATGACCCAAGTCCTTACTAGTTTTCTGTTGTGGTTGTTTTGAATAAATTTTACTTAATTCCAACCTGGCAAACTTATCTTTTTTTACTTCAAGGAGCTCCTTATGCTCAGGAAAGCAACATATATGAACAGCTAGTTACTATCACTTGCCACAATCCCAGCTGTATGGGGGGAAAAATCAAGTGATTATTATTGGAAATTTATGTATATTACTAGCTGTGGCTCTCAATTGTTTTTCGGTTACAGACCTATTTGAGAACCTGAAGAAAGCTACAGACCCTCAACCAGCAAAACCATCAACTAAACAACAGTGGAAACATGCACGGTAAAGCCAAGGATGCGATTTCATTGTTCATAATCTCTTAAACTGCAATCTTGCAACTTATCAGTGTTTAAAATGAGAATTTTCTTTGGCTGATTTTCAACATTTACATGAAATGGCACTTGCTATAATGGAGTGGGCAGCAATAATGTATCCGGCCTGCTTCCTTGGACTTGTGACAAGACTGTAAAGTAGGGATGCCTCAAGTCTAGGAATCCCTGCACATGTCAATAATTGATGAACATATGGTACTTAGCCGTTTTTAAAAATCAACAGCCACATTTTTATGAATTAACTTTGTTACAAATGTTCTCAGTTGGTATTACTTTTTCTCTTATTCTGTTTTGCACAATGCATTGTCCACAGAGTGAGTTAGAAGGCCTCAACTGGACAAGTTGGTCTAACCCGAAGGGTGTCAGGTCACTGGCAAACTTTACTGGAACTCAGCTGCTCCCTTCTCTTCTCATCTCTGGGAGAAACAAGACACACAAGGCCCCCCTGAAGGTGATGGACAAATCCCAGCCACTCTCTGGGGTTGTCTTAGCATGCACTGCAGAGAAGCCTGCTGCTTCTTTCCCTGACTTTCATACCTGGGAGATGAGAAGGACACAGGGGTTTGGGGAGTGGCTGCTTCCATTCTCTATGTGCTTAAACCAGGAGAACCCTGCCTGGTCAATTCCACAGCACAGGAGCACAGTGGTTTAAAATGCTAAAATGCCCCTAATATTCTTACAGCCACAGCTACTGACCAGCAGTGACACAGCCCTCAGAGAGCCACCTTAGGTCTGACGCACAGGGGCAGGGGTGATGAACTTGGTTTTCGAGGGCTGCCCAACCCATTGGAGGGGAAGCAGAATGGAAGTGGCTTTTTGGGGCAGTGGGACAGCAACAATAATAGACTATATTTAGCTGCCAGGCACAGTGCTGGGAATTGCTGCTACCCACGACCCTAAGGCAGCATTTCTGATCTAGTTTGGCTGAGGGGATCAGAGTAGAAAGTGGCTTGCTTGGCATCATAGACAAAGGCTCTCACACTGAGCCATCCAGATGCTGTTGGGCTGATGTTGATTTTGCCCAGCTCTGGTGCCTACCAAGGATCTGGGACTCTCTTGGGCATGTCTCAATAAAGACAGTGTGAGGGGCTTGCCCGAGTCTGCCCTGACCTGCATGCACATCTTCCAAGGGGACTCAGTGGGGGCCAAGAGGGGGAGGAGCAGGGGGTGACCTCAGAATCACAGCACCCTTATGGGCACCTCAGTGTTCGCAGCTATGGAACATCTCGTGTTCTTAGCAGCAACTTATGAAAGTTTAAACCCTTGGGCTGCCTCAGCCTAAGGCCTTTGCCTGCTGTTCCTGAGAACTCAAACAGGGAGCACCTTGCTGCCTTCTGACTTGGCATTTGAGACAAGCACCTACCGAGGTTGTTGTCTGTCAGCACCTCCTTGACCCTCTTGGTTATGCCGTAGGTGTCCAGCTCTGGAGACATGGCTACCAGTTCTTGAATGCTGAGGGCTGAGTGTCCCGAGAGAGGCAGTGGGGTTGCGGGCTGGGAGTCCGGTGCTGGCGGGTCGCTGGGTTCTGGAGGCTTCCCATCCTTACTGGTGTCGATGGGCGGACAGGGCTGCTGGACCAGCTCAGTCAGACTCTTCACTGACTCGCTGGAACTCATCGGGGACTCGGGGGCAGGGCTGCAGCTGGCGGAGGTCTTTGGAGTGCTTTCTGTAATTAAAGCACACGAAAAACCGTGCCTGAAAATAGTTGTCTTGCACCATATACATCGACTCTCCTTATCTAGGAAATACTAATTAAATGCTCTGTACGAGGAGTGTACAGTATGGCATTCTATGGATCTTAATGAATTGTTCCATAGTTTTTGACTGAGAGTAACCTCTAATTTTCTGTATTAAAACACAAAAATAACATCAATAGAAGAAAAACTAGGGGTTTAAATGAGAGGTTTATGAAGGCTTAATATAAGGGCATTCTGCTAAAAAATATCTGTCATATTAATCATGTGTTATCACTGTCATGATTTCTAATGAAACGCTGTAATTCTCTAATTCAGGAGTACCTTGGCTAGATTATAACTTACAAGGTTATTTTGTCCATATTTTCCAGAACAAAAAGAATAGACAGGTTATTTTAAACAAAGAGCTGCCCATGATGTGTGGTCACTACAGTTAGGAAGATTCTTAATTAAAGGGAAACCTAAGGCCTCAGCTGCTGGCCCCGTGGTGGCTCAGGGCTGGGTCTCAGGATCCCAGGTTGGTTTTTACTGTGACTCCCAGGGGGCTTCACAGTACCCAACTCTAGAGGAAGATGAAGGGAGCCAAACAGAGGCAGAGCACCTGCTCTACTCTTCGGCTCATCCATTTAGAGTTCTGCACTGAACTGCTTGCTTCTGAAAACCAAGCTTTTTGTTTGTCTATACCATAACCAACACCAGAAGCAATTGGGTCAATGTGGACAAACGGGTCCACATTTTTTTTCTTAAGAAGGGCCTCTGCCTGGCTGGTGTCACTGCAGGTCCCCAGTGGGAAATGCCACCCTGTGCTCCCTTCCTGAGTCCCTTCTGGCCTCTCTGCTAGCAGCACCCATACAACCTGACAAGATAGGCTTGATTCCAGTTTGGGGACATCTATAATAAAAACTTTGGCCATTTTCAAATGTCTAAATACAGAGAAAGACTGTCCAGGAGGAAAATGTGAAGTGACTTAGCACCAAGGTCCTACCCACAAGGCAAAATCTGCCTTTGGTCCAGCTCAATGTCTTGGCACAATCTCTCCCCCCAATCCCACCGAGGCCGACATATGGTAAGACCCCGCAGTGCCATGTCATGCATGTCACAGAGGGCAGGGTAGGGTCTTCCTCTTGCTGCTTCTCCATAGAAGGGGTCACTCAGTCAATGTCAGCACATGTAGCAGGTACCCTAAAATACTTGGTACCTGACTATAAAGGAAATGTAACACCCAGTAGGAACTTAATTTCAATTTACCATGTTAACATTTTATATCTAGGATAACAATCTATTGACAACATATTCCAAATACAAGGAGTATCTTGTATTAATACCCAGAAAGAACAAAATCCCAAATAAAATAACGGCACTTTAAGTGATAAACCTGTTTATTGTCCTGAACTGGTACAAAGTTCCACCATCACATAAAGCTGTGTCCTCAACCTAGGAAATCAGGTTAAAAAAAAACAACAAAAAAACTCAAACTGGTTTGTGAAAGATGTAAAAGACATAGACATAAAAGGCAGAAGTGGTCTATATAAATCTTTAAGGCAATACAAATCCTACAAATCGGATTTCTTCTCTCTGCTCACCCCCAGGTCACCATACAACTGGATATAAAACCCAGCAAATGTTATTTTTGTATCTGAAGCAGCAAAAGGATTGTACTGTAAATTCGCCCTGATTCACCCATGCGAGGGACCAATTTGGCAGATCATCCATCTTGCTCACTGTATACTGTCAAGGATGGCATGAATTCCCCACATGATAAACAGATTCCTTCTCAGGTTTGTGTCCTTTAACCCACAGCAAGGTCAAAATCATGGCTGCCTGGCTAATAAACCACACGGCACCGGCTGCTGTAACGCCTCCCTGTTTTGTTCTGGGTGTCAGTGGAGGCAGATCTCGCCCAGGATCTGAGTGGCTGTGTAGTTCTTTCCTGCAGGCATTCTCCATGAGCCACTCACATGTATTTTCGCCATGATGAACCCCTGTGAGAACTAAACAGGCGCTCACCACCCATCGCCAGTGTCCCTCTGTGTTCCCGACCCTGACTACAGACAAAAGCAGAACCCCTGAGAGCAAAACCCTTGTCTGGGCCCTGAAACATACAGGCGTGTGGAAGTGACACACTGCAGCTAGTTGCTGGAGCTGCCTCGTTTCTGCTTCTCCACTCTCAGCTCCACTCTCCATTTCTGAGTCTGAAATGCAGAGAGCGTCTGGAAGCTGAGCACTCTTCCTGGAGACGGTTTCCTTACCAGCAGACACACATGCACAGATAGATGTGCCTGTGGTCTCAGGTCTCAGAAAGCAGGATCAGGCCCATGTTTTTGGACAGGCACAGACAGACGCAACAGTAAATGGGACCTGGTGGAGACACCATGAATCCTCACGCTCAGAACACCATGTTGGAAAGAAAGTCATTCTTTAGACAGCTATTTCCCGGAAGCACCACAGCCCCAGTGGCAGGGCCAGCATGACAAAACCAAACCTGTTAGCACAACAGCCCTGTTGGGGTGGCCAGGGTGGAGGGACCATCAGTGCAGGGGGAACAGTTGGTTGCAGATATGGCTCATCATCTTGACAGAACAAGAAAGTGGTCAACAGAGATGAAACATTGCTTTTTCTTTTCCAAAAATTAGCAAATGGAGCTCTCTGATTAAAATAATAGTTCAAAGAATAAGGCTTTGCTCCCTTCTATGTAATTAAAAATAATTTAAAAAAAGAAGTCCTGAGCATGGCATGAAGGTACTGAACTTGGGGACAGGGGCTCGCTCTACTAGCCAGCTGTGTTAACTTGAATATGACTCCTGACTTCTTCAAACACCCTGGTGACCTCATCTGAAAACTGCAGACAGGGTTGTTGTAAGGAAGGAAGCTGCCACATAGTTGGTGCTAAGTAAACACAATCTGAATTTTATGTTTTTTTTTTTCCTTTTAAAGAGTAGTTACTAAATTGTATTGAAATGTGTGTTTCTCTGAAGGCCTACATGCAACGTACACCTTGGGACTGACGGCTCGCTCTTCTACAGTGCTCAGCACGTGATGGAGACACCAGTGTGACTCAAAGGGCTGCATCCTGTGTGATGCGTTTGGATGACATTCCAGAAAAGGTAAAACTATAGGGACAGAAAACAGACCAGGGGATTCCAAGGGGGAAGGGCAGACGTGACTAAGAAGGGAAATGAGGGAACATTTGGGAGATGATGGAATTATTCTATATCTGGACTGGGAAGACTCATAGAACAGTTCTGAGTGAAGAGTGAATTTTACTACATATAAATTATACCTTTTATAGTAAAAACTTAGGAAAAAAGTGCTAGTGGAAAGAATGAATGAAGGCCATGTCATTAGGCCACTGGGAACATGGCACAGAACAGATCAGAGGTGGCCCTGCCCGCTGGAGCTTGCAGCTAGCAGGGAAGACAGCTATGAAACAGCAAATACCTACAGGCTGATGGATATTCTGGTGGGAGACAGACAGGGGTACACAGCAGGGGTGCAGGGACATTTCAGGCATGAACAGGAATTAGCCAGGTAAGTTAGGAGTGGGAATGGTGAGAGGGAGGTAGATTGTGCCAGATGTTTTTGAGGTTATCAAACCTGGGGTAGCTGGTGGGTTTGATGCATGAATGGAACTCAGTGTAGTGAGAGAGACCCCAGTGGCTGGGTGGTGCAGGGCCTTGGAATTGGCCATGTCTGGTGTCTGTTTTAATCCCAATGCAGTGGGATCCAGGGAAAGGTCTGCTCCACGACGGGGCTCCCCTGCACCTAGCATTGCTTCTCTTTTGCAGACTCCAAGTGGGCACTGAGGGTTTACTGAGGCCTTGTCTGAAATAGCAAAAAACTGGAAATAGTGTCCATCACTAGGAGACTAGGTATCTAAACTGTGGCATGCTCATATGGTACGCTGTTATGCTACAAACAGCAGTGAGAATGTAAGAACTGGAGCCACATGTGTCCACATCAGAGGCCTAATGAAGAGTCCCCAAAGCAAGATGCAGACCAGAAACAGAGCATGACATTTGCATAACGCGTGAAAGCTTGCACATACTACACACGGCGCGTGGGTACTCAGGTAAGTAGTGAGGATATGTCACTATGCACAGGAATGATAAAAAGCAAATCCAAGGTAGGCAGTCTACTCCTAGGAGGAATAAAAATTAAGGAGGGGGCTTCAACTCTATCTTTAATGTCTTACTTCTTTTAAAGATATAGGTTTAAATTATGACCAAAAGTTAAGGCTAAAGTTGGGTGATGGGTAGGTGGGTGTTTACTACATTATTCGAGAGTTTCTTTATGTTTGGAATATTGTTGACCTAATATTAAAAAGTAAGAAAGTAAGTAAGTTCACTATTGATTATGCACAGAGAAGGAACTTGAGAACACACAGTAAGGCGGTGAGAGCTGGAGGGCTGGAAGAGTGGGAGGCAAGTGTGGAGAGAGATGCAGGTTTGAGAGCAGTTTAGGAGATGGAGGGGCAGGTGACAGCAGGGCATCGTGGGGGGAGAAAGAAGACCATGGGAAGAAAGCCCACCACATCACCATTCATAAGAACAGCCACTCCTAGGCTGACATTCATCGTCCGCTTACTATGTGCAGGCACCGTGTGAAGGTATATAGGAGGAACAGATTCAACCCTCACAGCCACCTCCCAATATGAAGTAGACAATAGTCACTTCCCTCATTTGACAGAAGATACGGTGCGACTAGCTGGATGGTCCATTTCTAGATAGGCCCCCGTACAGTCAGTGGTGCCCGCACCCTGCAGCCTGCGTGTCTGCTGGAGGTGGGAGTGACTGGGCCTGCCTTCCAGGGCATGGCTTCTCTACTATCCACCTGTCAGCACATAAATCTCAAAAACATAACCACAAGGCACAAAAGAGCCAATCCCCTCGTGGGATTAAGGAAGGGAACCAGAACACATTTCATACCAAGTATGAATGGGGCAGTGTGCTGAGGGCGTTTACACATGGTTTCATTCACTCCTAATAGCCCTGCAGTGGAAACATACCCCCACATTCTCCAGCAAGGAAACTGAGGCTCAGACAGACAACTTGGCTTGGCCGAAATCACATGGATGGAACACAGATCGAAAGCAGGTCAGGAGTGAAAGCCTCGATGCTTCTATCTGTCCTGCCACCTGCCCACACCCACAGGGGTTCTGGATCACAGCCTGCCTTCATTCATTCACTCATACATTTTTAAAGCACCAACTCTGTCATGTACTCTGGTAGGCCTTGGGGATAAGGGAGAAATTAGATAAAACCTTGCTTTCAAGGAGTCTGTGGCTTACAGGACTGAGACAATTGAAAACGGGTAATTTGCATATTTGAAAAGCCCCTACCCAGTCCCATCCATCCAGTTTTGACAGCAATAGTAAGGTGTTACATTTAAAAAGTGATCTATGTGAATTAATTTTTTGCAAGGCGTTGAATCTTGCAGAAGTGAGCTTGGTTAGTAAGCTACAGAAAGCAGAGACAGTGACTTAAGGCCCTCTGAGATACAGAAGGCATTCAGGAACTATAAAAGGATTATGAAAAATATTATATTCCAAAAACAGCAGGCAAACAACAGCTGCCTTAAGTTTTCAATAGAAGCCAATTGGAAACACGCACCCGCCATAATTTTCAGAGACAAATCTCTCTGCAGTTTATCCGATCCACTGTTTAAATTTCCATACCCAGCTCTCTATCTGCAGTAATAATAACCCAAATTCCATTTAGTGTTCATTTGAGCAGTCAGGATAAAGTCATTTCTTATTATCTCCCCACTGTGTAAAAAACAGCTTGAAGGTAGGAAGTCAGCAAGCATTTTCACCAAAAAGTAATTATTGTAAGTGACATTTTTACTGCTGGCATGCCATAAGGCGAACTGTACGTTCAGAAGGACAAGTTGCTGAAACAAAATGACAGGGTACTCCGTGACATTCTGACAAGAACCCAAACATTATTTAACTGGCGGCTGGTCTGATGCACCACTTTTCATTATGTCCATAGTTTAGGCTTTGAGCCCATGCCAAGCCAGGAAATTCCAAGTGCCTATAAAGACAGACGGGTATGGAAAGGCGGGAGAAAGGAAGAAGGTTAGCAGGGAGAAGGGGGTGGTTGTGGCCTGGCACATTTAAGTGTGAATGAATGAGGACGCCTGGGGGAGGGATGTGGTCTTGGCGCAGTGGTGAGCGGCGCAGGGTGCGAGGACGGGTGGCAAGCTCTGGGGCGCATGGGGCAGGCATCCTAGGTCCAGCAGGAGCCCTAGTGGCCCACCCAGAAGGACCCTGCCTAACCTGAGGGCCTTTCCAGCCTAAGCCACTGACAGCTTCAGAAACTACAACACAGTGACCCCAACAGTCCAGAATGTTTCTCAGCCGAGTTCAGATGGACAGATCCTGATGTGGACACCAAACCTGCCCTAAACATGGGGACTCACTCGAGTGCTCACCTTGTGCTCTGAAGAGACCTGCCACCTGGTGGTTATGGCCAGAGAGTCTGTTTAGATAGAATGAGCTTCTGTGCATCAAAGGTGAACAGCAATGCTAATCTGACCTCATGTATCTTAATCACACGTTGGCGAGGCCTGTGCCACACAGTAACACGAGGCCCGCTTGCATGACCAGCTCTGAAATTTCTGACCAAGTCCTTCCTCAGTGGTGGTGGTGCCGATGGGCTTGTCGGTTCCCAAGCCTTGGCTCTGACCTGAGCAGCAGGTACTCACAGCCCTTGTCGGAGCTCTACCATATTCCACTAGTCACCTGTCACCCGTAGACACGGCCAATATAATGTGGAGTTTTCTTGAGTACGTATGAGTGGTATTTAATATTTTGACCAATTAGCAGGAGCATGACAGAAAGCATGTAGCTACTTTATTTATTTAATAAGATGTCACAGAGACACTCAGGAGCTTCCCATACCCCCTTACAGTACTGTTTTCCTACTGAGAAGGAAATGAGCGCAAGCCAGCAACATAGTAAGGAATGTCAGAGACGCACCCAAAGGAGCCACACTGCAAAATGGCCTTCTCTCCAAGGTGAGTGCCTGCGTCTACACTGGTGGGAGAACGCGAGGGTCCAACTTGAGGTCCACTCCCACACGGCATCCAGCAGCAGCGAGGCCCTCTCCTGCCCCAGGTTGCTTTAAATCACTGAAAATCTTAGCAGCAAACCTAACAAGTCACTTTTTTCCCCCAATAGCATAAAGGAGTAAACTGAGAAAGACCTGGGGTGGGAAGGTCAGGCTAGGAGCCGGGAGCAGGGGGCAGACTGGGTGGCACCTCTGTCTCCCTGTCGGCACTAGTTTCTTCTATAAAATGGAAGAGCGATGGTTTCTTTCTCACCCCCTCTGCCAGGACTGAAGTTAGAACAAGACAAGGGGAGCTAAAACTCTCCAGCACCTAGTAGGTGCTTGGGGGTGGGGGTGTGTGTGAACAATTTATTTTCTTAACTCCGCCTAAGTAACTGTTACAATGACATAAGAGCCAAAATTATTTATTAACAAAGAAAACTTGTTTAATAAAATCAAGGTTATTTAACTTGTGCCATTTATATCTTACCTGCCCAAATGTGATTCCTCAGCCACTTGCAGATGGGGCCTGTGCCTTTCAGGGAATAGGGAAGCTTTCTATGCACTGCGAGGTGACAGGGGGCAGGGGTCCAGATGTGAGTAAGGCAGACCCTGTGCTCCCAGGACTTGCAGCTGAAGGGGAAGACCAGCCTCAGTAAGTAGGTCACCGTAACAAAGAGGCTGGGGCAGTGGGTGCTTACAGCCCCTGTCACCCCAGAGCTGGGGATGAGGATGGACGAGGGTAGGCCTGGGGGGCACCTGCACGAGAGGAGGCGGGGAAAAGAGTCTGAAGACAGGCCAGGTCACGGATTACCCAAGTGAGACTTGAACCTGAGGGAGGCTGGGCAGCAGAGTGACCAGTCAGATGTGCACTGTGGAAAGATGGAGCTGGCCTGAGTGAGGGGACACCTGTCTGAAGACAAGGTGCTCAGCAGGTACAGAGCTGTGCACACGTGGGAGTGGGGAGCCAAAGGTGGTCTGCCAGGCTGGCTCAGGGAGCCCTGGGGTGGGTAGGCCACTCACCTCAAGAAGGGGCACTGGGGGGGAGCAGCTCTAGGGGGATGAGACCCAGGGTCAGGTGGTCTCTGGCCATACAGGCAGGTTGGTCCATGGCCTGGCCACAGCCCAGGGCAGTGAGAGATGCTCACTGCCGTTGCCAGGGAGTCAACGCGCTCAGCTCTTCTAATGAGACACCACCTCCGTGTGTGACCCAGAACCTCCCTCCCACCTGGGATGGTTCTTCACACTCTTTCCTTCTCCCCAAGCTGGGAAACCACACTGGGGAAAGAAACCTTAGAAATCCTGTGTTGACTAGAGACATACAAGGAGAAGCTGCAGAGGTGACAGGGTCCTGTGGTGGGCTAGAGCCCACCCATGGGCTGGGAGGGGACGCTGCCAGGGACTTGGAATGTAAGTCTGCTCTCCCTCAGGGCTCACTTTTCTTGTGTATCTTTTATAAGCTCTTAAGGAAATATGCACATCAAAAGCAGAGCTTGGAGATATTAAAAATTAAAAACCCTGCTTAAATTACAATTCAATTTTTGTAGTGAACTCGCAGTCTGGCAAGACTGCTGAAGTGACACTGGGTGACACAGTTGGCCCCGCTTCAGGGGCACAGTGCTTGCCCTGCTCCAGCTTTTCTCCAGATCCACACTGATTTAGAAATAATGCTTTCAAATTACCTTCAATAACCTTATTACAGAGCCAGCTGTGCGTATGAACACTTATCAATGCGTCCCTGTGCATTAAGAGAAAATGTATGTCATACAAACAGTCTAAATATATAATACTGAGATGGGAAAAAACAAACCCTCTAGTTAAATTGCTTTGCTGTAATCAAAGATTAATCACTGTGTGAGAGTGCATGTGTGAGTGTGTGCGCGCCCTCTCTTTTTCTCCAGGGTTCATTTCTGGCTTTGGGCAAACCTGCCCATCCCTTACCAAGCCACACTCTCCACCAGGCAGCTCACACCGCTCTTCTGATGGTGGAATTAATTTTCCCAGATTCCTGAGAGTTGGAGGAGCTAAGTGGTGGTCTTAAATGTTGTTTTCTTTCTGAGTCTTGTAGGCCTGTAGCTCAGAAACACTCCTTTCCCCCAGGTGCGTGATGGGCAGCAGGCTTGGAAGTGTCCATCTGTGCCTGTCCCTTCTCGACAATGCTGCCAGTCAGCCTGGTGTGCGGGTGGTGACGTTTGGGCTGTGATGGAATGTTCCTTTGAGAATCCATGGCTGCCCGCAGCCAGTGGCGTGGAGGGCTGCTCTCTGCCTTGCACCCGATGCGCAGGTGACTAAACTCATCTGGCCCCACAAGGGCCTGGGGCCACGCCGAGTGGGACCAAGTGACATTTTCGTTATATGAGATGGTATTAGAAAAGCCATTAAGGTACATTATTTTACACATCCTCCTAATCTCTCCACACTGCTTTACTTAATTTGTGATGAAATTGTTGAGAAAGGGTACTTAATGTAGGACAGTCAGTAAAAGTAATTTATCATCTTCCCGCTTCAGTGCTCACGTTATCAGAGAACTCATTTTCTGCATTCATCATGCAATCAGCCTATTATTTGCATATTAATCAGGCAGTGGACCATGAAAGAACTGCATCCCAGCCAAATGCTGCACTATCTCAGGAGAAACACTCGGTAATTATCATACATCAGTGTTATGATGTGGTAATTGATTAGAACATCTCTCTGCTGCCCCCGGGGAGTCCCTCTGCTAACCCAGCTCCAGGCACTCTGGACAGATTTTTCTTTTACTGCAAAAAATCAGAGTAACCACTGCTGTTCTCTCAGAGTGCTATTTCTGTGGAGTATTGATCCTCTTTTCCAAATTCATAAGGTATTTTAAGCCATGCGAAACAAAACCGACTGTAACTCAGGAATGAGAAGGTCTGATAGTGACTTGGGAATGTCCCTCTGGGCCCCTGTCCCCTCTCTCCTCAGCATTTTGGGTTCAGAGGTGCTGCTTCGGCTTCCATAAACATTTCCTTATCAAATAAAATGTTGCAACTTCAGTCCCTCCTAATTGCAAAGCTGGTACAAAGGCAGTTGGGCTGATTTAGGTGCCAAATGACAAGACTAATTTTGGCCTTCCTGTAAAGGACAAACCCGACCTCTGCCAATTCAGACTCTGGCTATATTTAGGAGCCCAGTTCCAAAGGGAAGAGCAAAATATGAAATCAAGATGAAGCCAGTGATGGAGGCTTCCTGGCTGGCTCCTGTGCTATGCAGGGCAGTGCCAGCAGGGACTCCCCTCCTTCCTCCAGCTGACCATGGCCCACAAGTCAGTCTGTGTGGGGCTGGGGTTGGGGCACTGGCCGGGGAGGCCGTGATAGCTGTAGGTGGGGCTGCCTTGCAGCGAGGAAAGGACCTCAGGCCCACTGTGTATATGTTTGTTGAATTTGGACTGGAAGGGATTTCGAGAAAGCATAGACCCTCCATCCTACGCAAGATGGAGTATCACTTGTCCACGGCCAAACTTCATAAACTCAAGTCCAACTCCACCACTGACTTGTCGATCATCCCTCCCCTTCCCCAGCCTAGGTCACTGGTGAAACATACAGGACAGATCCCAAGGTAACCAAGGTGTCTGTTTTTCTGCCAATTGTTTGTTTTGTCATGGATTTTTTGTTTTTATATTTGTCTATTTATAATCTGAAGCCAATTTTGTCCCTTGTTTTGAAGTGTGGGCTTGCTTTTTCTCTGAGTGTGGTTCTAGGGACCTAGGGACCAGGTCCTTAGAGTCCTGGCACTTGCTCCTGCAGACACCTCTGCCAACACACATCAGTTCTGTCATTTTATTCCCATACCTTTCTAAAATCACCTGAGGATTTCTAGGCATTTAAGCTTCATTCCTTCTCTGGAACTGAACCACTGAAAACTGAAGTCCTCACTTGCCCCTATGACCTACTTTAGCCTCTTGTACTGAATGCCCAGTGTGCTGTAAATTCTGTTTTCGAAGGAAAGCCTCATGGGGAGAAAAAGGAGTCGTGTCTGTCCACAGGCCTGGCTGTGCCTGCCGGGCCTTCTCCAAAAAGGGAGGTAGGGAGTGCCAGGATGGAGGGTGCAGGCAGAGCCACCAAAAGAATGACAACAGTTGTGTTATCACTCACCCTTGCCAACAGCCATCCCAGATGGCCTGGTTCCATGCTAGTTTGCCCCAAAGCCCTGAGTGATGACCTGTAGTCTTACTCTTGAAGCTCAAGATTTTCTGTCCACTTTAAGAAATGGTTGATGGACAGGTAACTTCCAAAAATGGAATGGCATTTCATAGAAACCAAGAGTCTGGAATGCCACACACAGGTCGTCCCTCAGCAGACCAATGGTGTCACCAATGCCTGGCAATATCTGCACTTGACGATCTCCACCAAAGAGGTCAGCAAGTGACTGGACTTCTGTTTTAAAGCCAGATGTCTAATGTTTCGTGTGTGCGTGTCTATTATTCTACAGTGTTCTGTGCACACACAAAACAATGTGTAATAGTAGTGGCGACAGAAAAGCAAGCATTTAAATAGCACTAACACTGTGCCAGCCTTGCTGTTCTGGAAGCTCTTATACATGAACATATTTAAACTTCTCTACAGCCTAGGAGGTAGGTACTTTATTTTTCCCATTTTATAGAAGAAACTGAGGCATAGAGAGGTTAAGTGACTTGCACAAAGTCACACAGTCACTAAGTGGCAGAGACAGGACAGGCCCTTGGCAGCTGGGTCTGAGCCTACTGCGCTGCATACGGGCTCATGGGTGGTCACTACAGGATAGTTTCTTATGTTTTGCTGTTAAAAATCAATCTCAAATCTCTTAATAGTGGTTGGTTAAATAAAATTAGTACAGCCAGGTATAGGAATTCCCTATAGCTGCGAAAAGAGGGGAAAATTCTTCACATACTGATGGAGGAATGTTCCAGGATGCATTCTAAGTGAGAAAAGCAAGGCACATGTGGGGGGAGGAGAGGATAGGTATATACATACATAATGGGTGTGGTGCGCACTGTCTGGGGGATGGACACACTTGAAACTCTGACTCAGGTGGGGCAAAGACAATATATGTAACCTAAACATTTGTACCCCTGTAATATGCTGAAAAAAAAAAAAAAGCACAGGGCCTTGGAGTCCCGCATAGCCTCGATCTGTGGAATAAACATCTAGCTGCATTGACTGTCCTAAAGGACATGTGAAAAGCTGGGACAGGAGCCCCCTGGGGGGGGAGGTGACTGATTTCTTAAAAGGAGTGTAACCCTTTTAAAGACTGCATTTTGTAACCATGGTGCATTTACTTACTCAAAAAACCCTACAAATCATATATATTTTTAAAAAACCAGTCAACTAAATCTGTGACCCTGGGCTACTACTTCTGCACTCTCTGGTGAGGGACAGTGACAAATCCTGCTCTAGGAACAGAGACTCTCAGGGCTGAGTTTGCCAGAGTGGTCTTTCCCAGGGCATGGCGAGTGACAGTGCCAGGAGCTGGGGCTCCAGGATGCTTGGGGGGCGAGGGAAGCCTGTGTAGGGCACTTTCCTCACTTGATGATGACGTTTGTTGCTTTGGAACAAAACATCAAGTGGGCTGTGGCACTTGGTGGCTGGCTGCCCCAGGATGCCTGTTTGGGACCTGCAGATGCAATGTCCTCTGAGCTGGGACAGGCCTTGCTGCGCCAGGAGTAAAAGGCCCTCCATGCACCCTCTGTTCTCCTGCATTAACATGGCAGGGATGTGTTTTCAGGATCACAATCCACAAATGTTTGGAGGGGCTTGGAGAGCTGAAAGAACAGGGCCCACGTGGTGATGACAGGATGTTCCACTGAGGTCATGGCAGTCATCCTGACAAGTCACATGTTGAGGGAACTTCTAAACAGCGTGTCCTCGTTCCCTGTGGCTGTCAGGGGCCAACCACAGACCCACCTGGCCTTCCCTCTGCACAGCCTGCCTCAGGTCTCTCTGGAAGGGTTAGGGGTGGCACGAACACATCCCTTTCTGCCTTAGCTCAGCTGAAGTAAGGCTGAAATATTTGAATAGATGTTGATTAGAGGTAACTTCACAGAGGACGGTTTCCGTACCTGAGTCCATCTTGGTGGGCCTTGGGGAGCTTCCTAACCCATGGGGGCTCCACCCAGGTCCCTGGCTGGCTCTGGGATGGACATTCCTTGGGTCCGAAGCCTCCTCACCCCTGCCCTGTGGGCTCTGGGCTGTCTGTAGCCCTCCAACTAATGCCTGTAGGTTCTCTGAGTCCCACAGGCCCCACCCTGTGGCCCCAGACAACTCCTGCTCTGTCTGGCTTGCCTGGGGTACACTCAGCAGCAGCTGAGGCTATGTCTGGGTATTCCTGGTGGTCCCTGCTCTCCGTGCACTGGGACTATGTAGCCCCCACCCCACCTGCTCTATGGTCATGAGAGAGCTCTTTCCCCTGCTCATGAACTTGTGGCCCCTCTTGTCCTTGCTTCTTAGATGATGGTGTCTTCCCTGAACTCCAGACACCCTCCCTGGCCTTCATCCTGTGAGCTCCTCAGATGTGAGAACCGCAGCCCATGGGGGAGGGGTGCTTGGAGCTGATGGGGCAGGTGGAATACCCGAGGCCAACACAGCTGGGGGTGGGGCTCCTGCAAGAGCTGGGAGCCCCTGTTCTGTCTTGCCAGTCTACCAGCTTCTTCTTACTTGAGCCTTAAGGCAGTGACATCAACAGTATTCTACACAGAGAGGTTCTTCCATCACCTACTTTCCTAAAAAGAAAGAGGCCTCCGAATCAGGGGCTTCTAATGTTTCCTCCTCCTTCGAAGGCTCCATACAGGCCACCATCTTCCCTGTCTCTGAACCTGTGCACCTGCAGCGTTCTGCTCCCCACCCGTTGCCCTCCTCAGCTCCCTCAGTGACAGGGGTCTCCCGCAGCCCAAGCCCACACACGCCAGACGACAGCTGCCAGGAAGGCAGGCTGCGTCTGAATCCAGACACCTGCCTTTTCTGACATCCTAGTGGAGAATTCCTTTACTGTGCCACTCTTGATAAAATTAAAATGTCCTAATGCAGTCTACAACCAAGAGAGAAGGAAACCACACTGACAGTCAGGGGTGGCACAGAGGGCTGAAATCCTGGGCCAGGTGACTCACAGCGGCCACCTGCTCAGGAAAGGGGGCTTTCTAGTCCATGTTTCTCTTTGTTTTTGATCTGTTGTCTATGGCTACTTGTAAATCAGTTACATACAAATCTTTTCAGTTACTCTAACAAATGTTGAAATGATTCTGTTTGAAGAGAACCAATAGGTACTTTCACTGATTTATTGCAGTGAAAAAGAAAAAAAAGAAAATGAAATTGAGGCTAAGGCACTGAATGAAGAGTTCTGCCTGCTTTTTAGACTTTAGTGCTATGAAAATTTTGGGGGCGGTCCCATTGGCCCCTCCTTTCCCTGTTAACATGTTATCCAAATGCGCCACACCCTGACCGTTGTCACTGACGTAGGGGAGCTTATTCAAAGACACTGAATCCTATCGCAGAGTTCAAAGCACTAGAACCTGGACATAGTTTCCTGGCTGTCTGGTGGGCACTAAGTGAATTGCCGTGATGCACATTAATTAAAAAGGAGGGCGCTGTGGCTCACGCCTGTAATCCTAGCTCTTGGGAGGCCGAGGCGGGCGGATTGCTCAAGGTCAGGAGTTCAAAACCAGCCTGAGCAAGAGCGAGACCCCGTCTCTACTATAAATAGAAAGAAATTAATTGGCCAACTGATATATATAAAAAATTAGCCGGGCATGGTGGCGCATGCCTGTAGTCCCAGCTGCCCGGGAGGCTGAGGCAGAAGGATCACTCGAGCCCAGGAGTTTGAGGTTGCTGTGAGCTAGGCTGACGCCATGGCACTCACTCTAGCCTGGGCAACAAAGCGAGACTCTGTCTCAAAAAAAAAAAAAAAAAAAAAAAAAAGGAATCAGGCCCCGTCCACAATGGGGGGGCTGTGGCCACGGGGACCTCCCAGTTGTGTGAGGCCATGGACGGCCCGCAGCCCCGTCGGACCACCCACGCTAGAGACAGACCATAGCAGCTGTCCTCTCACAGAGGCAGCTGGTACTGTGCTGACGGAGAACAGCGGCCTGCACCGTGGAATTCTCCATGGGCCGAGAAGGCTTGGAACCCACAATTCCTGACTCATACCACACTGGGGAAAAGCTGGATATTTTATGGTTAATCTGAGGGGATTGGGCCACCCTTCTGCTTGTACAGCTCGCCACAACACACCAGAAGCCAGCGTGAAAGCGGAATAGTGGGAGCTTGTTAGCTCCAGCAAAAAATGCTCCCATATTAAATAGGCACCAGGCTGCGGGTGCTGGGCGGCTCTTCTGTTCGTTCTTTGTATTGTACGATCATGTCATTTCCAGGATAACCTCTTTCATTTCCCTTTTCCTCTCCCCTGGGACAAAGAGCTTAATCACTCCAAGGAAGTATGAAGATAAAATGAAAAGGAATGAAAAAGGAATGAAAAAGAAAAAATAGATGATCCAGTGGTTTACTAGGTCACGTCTATCCACCTGTGTACTGCCACCTACACATACATACCTTCGTTGTCCCTCAAGGTTAAAAAAACCTGCCAGCCGATAAGCAGACCACACTCTGAGAAAACACGTCTTAACGGGCTCCCCCTGCTCTCTAGGGGCTCTGCTACTGCAAAGCAGCAGTGTGGGGCCGGGAGTGATGGATGATGCCGGGAATGACAGACAGACAACAAGGAGACGCAGAATCGATCCCCAGGGACCACCTGCAACGGCATCTTCAAATGCAGTTTTCCCAGATAGATCACAGATGACCCTGGTTAGAACCATTCACCCCCACCCCTCACCAAGGCACTGAGAGTTTTTAAAGAAGTCAACACAAAAATGTTCCTAGAAAATTAAGACTTATCAGGAAATATATTAAAAGGTATCTGATTTAAAGATTAGTCCTTTAAAAACCTCTTTTCTTAAAAAAATAGTTACTTATATGACTGGTGTGGAAACTAGTGCTTACCTTACTCTTTACTGAAGCCTCAACAGCTTCCAAGAAAAAGCCACAGGTCACTAGTGACACTGGTGGTTAAAAGTGGCATCAAGTTTCCTTCATGCCCAAGGCTGTCACCTCAGTGTTCCCAAAGGAACATTTAGGGGTGGTTATATACACCAAAAGGAAAAAGGAGAGATTGCAACTGAGTTTCTCTAGTTTCTCTCTCCTCATTGTAAAACTATCAGCAAGTCTGACATATAAACCACTAAAGCAAATGGCGGCACCAAGGGACGACGGAGCTGGGCAGGAGGAGGCAGCCAGGGATCTGCAGCGAGGAAAAAGGATCCTGGGTCAGCGTCTTGCTGCTCAGGTTGAGGAGGCCACCCTAGCACATTGGCACCTGATCGCCATGGTAACCACACACACAGCCGCCTCATTCGGCCCCCACCACCTCTGGTGTGAGATAGCAGCCCTCACTTAAGGGCTGCAACTGGCCGAGGGGACAGAAAGCCTTCCGAAGTCCCTGTCCAGCTGAGAGGAAGACCAGGCCAGCTCAGAGGCCAGATTCTCAGATACTGAGCATTTCTCACAGTATTCAGGAACGAACCAAGCCAGGTGTACAGTTACCTGCCTGCAGCCATCTGGATCTACCATGCTGAGCTGCTTTAGGCAGAGAGTAGATGGGGCCACCACCGAGGACATAGCATCTTTCTCCATCTAGGGGCCACTTGGGAAGGATTCTGTGGTAGCCATGGTGACAGCAGGAATCAGAATCCTGTGGCAATCTTAGGAACAGAGGGCTCATCCCTCTGCCAGCAGGGTGAACACTGCTGAAAAGCTCCCCCAGAGACACTGTCAGGGAGATTCCAGAATCTCCTATAGTCATTCATCCCAAGGATTTATCCCACAAATCTTTTCAGCTGCTCAAACAAGGGTTAGAATAATTGTCTGGAGAGCACCTACAGTTACTTTTACTGACTTATTCTTATAAAAGAGAAAAAAATAAAATCAAATCTAGGCTAAGGCGCTGAATGAAGAGTTTTACCTGATGGTGGGGGGCCTTTCTTACTTTTAGAAAATAATTCTAATTTTCCAATCTAAATTCCATATACTGAAAGCATAGCTACTTTAATTTTTAGAAACCCTTTCGAAAAGATAACTGATGATAAAGACATTTCAAACAAGGAAAACTACCACCATAATCTTGCCATCATATGATAATCTTGCTTTTAATCTTGACAAGTACCTTCCAGTCTTTCTGGCCCAGAGAAACATTTCTGCTCAGCTGTTACCATGATGTACAAAATTTTTTAATTTTATTACAATATAAGAAATATTTTTCCATTATTCTCCAAGGTCACCATAATTATTGCTTCTACCAGGGGCTTCCCTGTGGCTGACAGACCACAGGAGTTTGGGGTAAGTGACCTGTGCTCAACCTCCTCCTGTACTGGGGTGAGCAGGGAGAGGCCCACCTGCCACCTTTCTTAAATACCACTGGCAAGTTCTACCATGTTCGGTCTTCTCCTGGGGCTCACTGCCTGTTTCTCTCTCCCTTCTCCAATCTGCAGACTACCCAAGAGTTTTAAGTGACTTTATTCTATAAAGTAATTTGATATTTTACAAATATCATTGACATTCCTCTTAGAAGCCCAGTGTGTTTTTCCTACGTTGGAAATGTGACTATCTTACGAATGTTCCAGCACAGTGGCGACAATCTACTGTAATAAAAAGTGAAAAGCCGTCCTTTAAGGATTTGTTCTGACAAGTAGGTGGTTCTGGCGTTGATCATAACAGACCTGGCCTCCAGCGAGACTTCCTGTTTTATTTAGGAAAAAGGGGTTTTGATCTAGAAAATGTTAGTCTCATTCTGCCAAGTCTAGTCTTGCCTCAGAGGGGGCAGCAAATACTCTCAGGGGTTTAAGGGAGGCCAACTTTCCATAAGGGCAGGAGGCAAGGCTAATTTTCATGCAAATGTCCGCAAAACTCTAGCACAGCTACGCCCATTGTTTGCCCTGGAGTATTTTGAACGCAAGCCAGTGCAGGGTAAGTTCTCTGGTGCTTGCTCACTAAATTGGCCAACCCAGGAATGAAGTGATCCTTCTTCAGATGGACGCTCTGCTCCATCTAGATGTCTAGCCAAGAAGACCTGCGGTGCAGGTGAGACACACCTTTCTGCCCTCTGCTTTGGTCAAAATCAAATCAGAACACTGAAAACATGCAAAGATCTCCACCAGGAACTTTGATGCCACTGCCGCGCTCTGGCTGCATCTGCGCGTGGGCTGGGCTCCTGCAGCAGCAGCCACCGCCGCTGCCAGCCAGCTGTTCCCCGAGTTACACATGTTTCCCCTCGTAAAGCTTCCAGCAAGCTGGCGGGCTTTGTGCTCCTCACTTAGCTTTGTTTGTGTTTTCAATGAATCAATGGGATATGGAGACTAAGCAACATGTTTAGAAAAATAGAGAAAGGAAAGAGGAACGGCTCATCATGCTGGCGGCTCCTAAAAGCTGGGTGAGAAAAACTGTGCTACAATTATGGGCGTAGGGCATGGGGAGCCCAGGAGCCACAGCCAAGGTCAGCCTCAGTGGGCTCAGGCTGTGTTCAGGCAGCATGGCCCGGAGGCCTGGCAGCAGAGAGGACAGGTCCAGTCAGAGGCCTCCGGGACCTCCAAGATCTCCAGGCTCTCAAATGCTGACGGGGGTACCTGAACTTCTCAGCCTGCACCACACCCCCGGCCCAGCCTGCACCCAGGGTCCATTTCCAGCCTCGGCCACTGTCCTGGGCGTCCTCAGCTCACCATCCACTTATACCTGAGCTGTTCCTGGGGCCTTCCTGGCCACATCCTTCATGCTGCCCCACCCAGCACCTGCCTCAGGCTCCGACCTCCCCCATCCTCCTGCCTGGAGGCCTCCTGGATGGACCAGAGTCCCCCTGACATGACCGCACTGGGAGAGCAACATGTGCCCGTACCTGTCGCTTCCTATTAGACCATGAGCCCCTGAGCACCGTATTTGTCACTGACTTAGACCCCAGCCTCGCCCCAGGCTGCCTGGAAACTAACAGGCCGCAGCAGGACTAGAATGAGTGCAGAAACATTATAAGAGCCTCTTACGTGGCTGTCCACGCACTCTCCAGTAGAAAACGGGACCTCGAGGGACCCACTTTGCCAAGAGGACACTGTATTTTCAGCTCATCAAACCCAGAATGAGGGGTCCCCCTTTGAGTCTCCCCGGGATGGACCAGAGGACAGGAAAACATAAAATATATTTATATTTCATATAAAGCCAAGAGAAATCAGCTGGTTACCTGAGCTCACACAGCCCTGCGGCAGGGGGTCCTGTAGCGATGTCACAGAGTGCAGGACTAAAGAAAAAGAAGGGGAACGATTAGAGGAGGAAACAAAGCCCCAGATTTAAATCTTCCTAACTGAGCAGCATCGGCCGAGGGAGGCCCCGACTCCTCACGGGGAGGGGCTGGCACGGGGGCCGCAGGCCTGCACTGCGCGCTGTGACCGAGCCAGGCCCCAGGCTGGGAGCAGGTGGAAGCCAGCGCCCGATCCTTTTCACGTCTGTGCCTCTGGCTGATTTTCCTTCCTGACTCCCTGATTTAGCTACTTGACTTTTACCTATATTTATGTATAAATAGCATTTTCTTAATTGGTAACTCATTTTCTGCTGCTTATAAAATTAGTCAGGCATAATCTTCTCTCTCCTAAAAACTAAAGTCAGTCCCATGGCAACAGGTTGTGGAGGAAGGGGGCAGCTGTCTTCCTCCCTGCACCAGCCAATAGGGGAGGGTGGCTGGGCACCTCCCTGAGCAGAGTCCCCTCCTCCCTCCCTGTGGTGGCCCAGGCGGGGCTGCCATGGTCAGGACCTTCTAAGGTGGTGGCCAACTCCTCCACAGATCCTTCTTTCCCCAGCCCTGCTCCCGGGCCGGGCTGCCGTTACCTGGCCCTTGCTGCTGCCCTTGAACGGGCAGGACACCCTGGCCCAGCTCGCCGTTCAGCCAGAGCTGCATCCGGATGAAGGGTTCTCGGCCTTTCTGGGTCAACTTGCTCCATGGCTTCGGCCGGGATAGCATGTCGCTGACACTGCCCTGGGACAAGCCCAGCACCTGCAGTGGCAACCAAAGACACATGGCTGTCAGTGCCCAGGTATCAGTGTATGCCACAGAATGCTTCAGTGATGCACACAGGCCGTGTGGAGGCCTGGCAGAGGTGACGACACCCAGGAGAGCTTCTAGGGCTGACATCTGAGCACAGACCCACAGCCTGGGGCTGGTGACAGCTTGGGGTGGAGAAATAAGCTTTCCAAGATTACTGGTGGGCTGAGTCCTTGGCACAGGAGGAGTGTTGGGTGAGCCATGGCTATGGCTGCAGCTTTCAGCTCCCAAGGAGGGGAGGGGTTTGCATCCTTGGGTCTCAGTCCTGTCAAGGCTGCAGGGCTGTCATCCTGATGGCCTGAGGAGGAAGGCTGTGGAACACCTTGCTCTTTGCCTGGTGGCACCAGTAAAGGCTGAGGTGCTGGGCCAAGAACCCCTCCAGAGGCAGGGGCAGTAGGTGCCAGGGGGACGTGGGAAGCCAGTCTCCTTTGCTGACACTGAGCCAGGATGGCATTTAGAAAGATTTGCTCCCTGTGATCACATCCTGCTCACAGGTGAGGGCCCAGAGGTGAGCTGGTGGGACGGGGCAGGTGGTCTGGGAGTGACATTCAGCTGCAGACGATCGACAAGTTGCGCGTACACACCCGAGTTTTCTTACGCTCACATATGGCCATACATATGTATAGGCACAAACACCCCCCACGAGACACAGATGCAGCCCAGAGATATTTAGGGGCTGCATCCGATCACTCTTTTGAAAAGTTCTCAAGTTCCAGAATAAACTGCACTCATGGGCCAAACAAGTTCAACGCTATTAAGTCTCTGCTAAATTTAAGGCATGAGCACAAATGTCTATTTAAATGTTCTCAAATGATATTTTTACAACACTGAACTAGAAATTTCAAGGGACTTTAAATGCTCATCCTCAGTTCTATTCACCCCCATCACCTTTTGCAAAATCAGGACAACGAGTTCATAATCAAGTATTGTGAGGATTCAGAGCGCGGTGTAGCGCAAACACCGAAGGCAGGACAGCGCCAGGCGGGAGGGACGGTCTGTGTGGGCCCCCGCTGACCCAGCCACATACTCCTCAGGAAGGTGCCTTTTAGGGCAAGAGGGTGCTTCCAATTATGCTTAGCAACCGATTACTTAATCTAAAAGGATGCATACGGGGCACTGTGTTTATTTTAGATTTTATAGGGATGGCTAATCCCCACCATGCAGAGTCTCAGTTACCAGGAAAGTGCACCAAGAACAGAAAGCGTCAAAAGCTCATGCAAGAAAGATTACACTTTCCTGAGCCATGGAAGGCCAACATGGAAACAAGGGCAGACATGCCTGGGCTGCCATGAGCTGCATGTTCCCCAGGCAGGTCTGTCACCTCTCTGGCCAGATGACACCCAAGGCAGTCTGAGTTATAGAGAAAGGCACAATTATGCTTCACAGAGCTTTTCCTAGCAAGTCCCTTTTGAGTTTCTGCATGGTGGCCCCTCTACGTGATCAGATCAGATGGTTTTTGGCTAAAACAGTCTGCCTGAGAGGTGCCTCTTAGCTCCACTTGGCAGTGGAGGCTGGACTTGATTCAGTCACCTGCCAGTTTAGGGCAAGTAGTGAATGTCCCTGAGCCTTAGCATCCTTCTCTGTGTCAAATGGCAATTTTACCATCCACCCCGCAGCGTGGCTGAGAGCTCGAAAGGGCAGCATAGGGGTGAGCTTGGCCACAGTGGGTTAGCAAATCGATCAGGGAGCGGGAACACTCACTGGCTGGCCTCCCCGGAAGCTGGGGAGTAGATGACACCTTATGCTCTTGGGTAATTAATGTGGGTGATAACCACATGCTCCAGGATAGATACTCTGTCCTAAGCAATGAGGAGGGACAGGAGCACCCAAATCAAACCCCTACCTTTTCCCCGAAGATCCTTTGGCAGATGCCGTTCTTGGCCAGCTTCTCTTTGACCTGCCGGGTGAGCTCGATGGTGTCCACCTCCTGGTACATGTAGACCTCATACTGCTCAGGGGTCAGCGGGGGCACCGAGGGCTTGGTGGGCTTCGACATGGGGACGATCGGGGAGGAAGGCAGAGGGCTGTTCTGGGGCGTCTCGCTGCGGCTGGCTCCGGTCAGACTCAGCTCTGAGCTTTGGGAGTACGGGGACTCGGCGTTGGGCCACTCCTTCCAGTACTCTGCCGACGAGGGTCCCTGGAGCTGGCTGCGCTCCGGCCGTGGCTGGCTGCTGCTGACCTTGTCTTTCGTGCTGCTGGCTTCTTCGACCTTGGCTTCTTCAGGAGCAGCTGTGTTTCTCCTCTCTGGCTGCACCGTGCTCCACCAGTGGTCCTTCCACGCCCCGCTGCGGCCCACCTCGTTCTTCACGTGTCTCAGAACTCCTTGTGCAGACTCGGCAGCTCCCTGGGGGTCCAGCCCGGGCGCGTCCTGGGCCTCCTTTTTGAGGGCCGGGGGGTTCGGCAGAGCAGAGGCGCTGGCCTCGGGAGCTGCGGGGGCCTTCTTCAGGGAGAGGGCGAGGGGAGAGTAGCTGGGAACGGTGGACATGGGCGAGGAGGACAGCAGCTTGGGGGTCAGGATGGCGATGTCAGTCTGGGACAGCGGTGCTTGTTTTAAGGCGGGGTCGAGGGCGGCCTGCTGGGCCTCCATCTCGCGGCGGGCTTGCTGCAGGATGGAGCGGATGGCGTCGTCGGAGTTCCCGCTGCTGGACGCGGAGGAAGGCTGGGCCGGCTCCGCTGCAGGAGGCAAACACGGGTGAGACTGTGCTGGAACCACCCTCGTCGGCTGGGGACGTGCTTCTCCCAGTCCAGCTTCCTTCCCCCTGGCCTCCCACAAAATGTGGGTTATTTGGGAGAACCACACTGCAGCATTTTCCCAACATTTCCTCCAGTCAAAGAAACATTCATCTTGTCTGGGCGAGAGGACAGAGGACTACTGCTACCGCCCAAGGGTCTGATGTCCCCTGGCACATGCCAGCCAAGAGGGTGACAAAGGGGAAGCGTGAAGATGCTCCCTGACACACCCTCCTGGCTCCCTTCTGAGAACTTTAAACTTCATGTCAATTCTCCTGTGCTATAGTCCAGAATCCTAGTGGTTCTGTCAAAGTTTAGAAGCTAATTGCAACATGAGACTGGAGTCTCCTGATGATAACTGGCCATGTGTGGGCTGGCTCCGAGTCTCTGCTGTGGCATGACCAGCAGCAGGAGCCTCCCCGACGGGAAGAGGGAAGAGCCACAGTGAGGTTCAAGGGAGTCCCTGGCCCTGGACTCCAGGATCTGTTGGCTTAGGAAGTCACAAGAATCGCTGGGCCTCGGTATTCCTGTCTGTACAGTGGGAGGGTAATGGACCACATCGCTGGCCCTTAGCTATTAAAATGCACATGGCTAGGCCAGGCCCCTCACTGTATCTGACTGAGGAGAAGGGGGGCTGGCCCAGCATTTGCATCTGTCACCAGTTCCTGGGTGACTATGGAGAGTGGCCCTGGCTGAATGCCCCTTTGGATGCCCCAGCTCTGATCTGACATTTTAGGAGTCGATGGCCTTCCTGGCTCTGTCCCTTGTTGCCCAAATCATATGTCTTCACAGCCAGGAGAGGAAAGCATATAAACTGGCTCTTCATGTGCTTTAAATGATGCCCCCAAATGCCTAAAATAACAGCAACAATCTATAATCTTCTCAGTGCCTTCCTACTTGACAGAGGGCCCTCTTTCCTCTAGCTCACACGCCCTGTGGCGTCCTTGGGTGCAGGCAGTGCCACCACTACTTTGCAGATGAAGGAACCAAGGCTCAGGGAGGCGATAGGCAACGAAGGGAGTCAGACCTCGGAGCAGGTCTTTCCATTCTCAATTCCTGCTGGGCCGCCTGCTAAGGCCTCTGTTTGTTTAGACACCTGGGGGCAGTGCTGGCTTAAACCTCAATTCTGCCTAACAAGGGCAAGAACTGCGCCAGACTGAAAACTCCATCCACCGCCAGTCTTGAGGTCCCACAAGGACTAGTGCTGACTACCCTGGGGCCTTCAGAAGGAGGCATATGGCGGCAGAAGGGAAAGTACAGGGACCAGAGTTGGGAGGCTGGGCCTTCTACCCAGTGACTAACATTTAATGAGTTTGGGCAAATTATTTTAACTCTGAGGCTGAGTTGGATAATCAGGAATAACAGGATAATAAAACCCATCTTCCAGGTTATGAGGACTCCATTGCAGCAGAGTGAGACAGGTGAAAATGACCAGCCCAGGCGTGGGAACCAGAAAGGAGCACTGAGCTCCCCAGCCCCTCACTGAACAAGGCACATAGGAGGTGGAAGAAGAATGAGTGACCAGGGCGGTGACCAGCTGGTGGCTTATGCTTGGCTGTCATGGCTGCCAGGCCAGGCAGATGCCCGTGGCCAGGTCTGTGGTGTGGGGCTCTGTGGAACAGGGGCATCATGGGTACAGGGCAGGCATGTATCTGCCGAACCCCAGGAAGAGAACCCAGACAACTGGCTTCTCCTGCAGAGAGTCCGAGTCTGCGGCGCAGTGCTCCTCTCAGGCAATCAGAGCTCAGACAGAGAGAGGCAGAAACGTGGGAGTTCTTTCCTCTTAAAAAATGCAGCTGGCAGGGAGCGTGGAGCCCCGACTCCAGAGGCGGGCTGCAGAGGTGGGCGCCTAACCACTAACGCTGCCCGTTCCTCGCTAGCAACATTTGAGTTCGCACAGCAGCTGTTAAGAATTTATTTTCTGCCTGTTCTTTTTCAGTTGCGTTTGGTCAAGTATGATAACAGCCAAATAATGGAAGCCTGTATTTCATTTAAGAAAGGATATTTGATACAAACTACTCGGTAGTTTAAGTTCAGTTAAGGAGATTCCAAGGGAGAGGTACGATCTTCAGTCAGTGCTAGGGAATGACATTGTAAGAATGGTAACTGTTAGCAAAACTACAAATCACACAGACCTGCTCCTCTCTGTGTGCGACTTTTTGCTTGAAAACAAAACCTTCACTATGGCTTTAAAAAGAAGAAAGTTAATTACTGCTGACCTGAACACTCATGACAATTCTTTTAATTAAGTTTGGACGACAGAGGTTGAGGAAACAGAAGCCATACCAGTTTTCTGCACTTGGAGCTCCCTCTTGGCTTGTTCTAGGATGGACTTGATTGCTTCGTCAGAGCCGGTGTCTGAGGCTCGGATGCGGGTGGTGATGTTACCTGCAGGGAGAAGTCACGGCAATGACATCGAACCCAAACCTTGAATGAAAATCAGTGCTGCACAAAGATGTCATTCTGATAAAGAGCCCTGAGCCAAGGCTGGTGATGGTGAGGAGGCAGGTGTGGCCTCCCCATGGCCTGTACTGGCTGTGCCGACACCGGGCAGGAGGGGCTTCCTGCTGCATCTGCCTTATAGTAACTGTTACTGTGCCAGTGAGAGAAGCTCTCACATTTACCCGACCTGGACACTGCCCGTAGGTTAGTACCAGGGAGAACAAATCATTTCACCCAGGATAAAAAAAGATGAAAGATCAAAAGGCATTGTTTTTCATGAGCTACTTAAAAGCAACTCTGACAAAGAGTCTGGCCTGGGACTCTGTTCAGCTCTGCCCAGTTACTGGAGGCTGGCAGCCCACACAGGGCAATCGGGAAAGGAGGGCCAAGGGTGAGGATGATCGCCTGTCAATACTTTGCATGTACAAGGTGAAGAGGCACAGGCTTAAAAGTTCTGAATCTACTATCACATAATGTCTTTTTAAAATTTATGCATGAGGAAAGAGGCTTGTAGAAATTCCTAAAGGACAGGAATTCACTCTTACGGTCACACGGTGATGCTTTGCAGAGCAGCCCCATGTGTGGATGCAAGGAAGCTACCACGGCCTGGGGCTGGCCCCAGCTCTTCCTGGAAGCCGTCCAGGTATTTTAATTTTTCACTACCTTACTAAATATGAACCACCACAGCAAACCATTTAAAAACAAGTATACCACCGGGAGAAAGCCCCATTAAAGATGCAACTCCAAGGAGTGCAGTGGGAGTTGGCTTGCCTAGCCCCCCAGGAGAACTGACTGGATTTGGAATTTGTCCACTCCGAAGGACCCTGAACATACTTGAGAGTTAAAAGTACGAGGAAGCAGCAGTATTTGATTTGACTCGGTCACCTGATTTTTCTCAGAGCAACAACTCTTCTTTCACCTGCTTCTGAGAAAATGGGAAGAGTGTAATTGGAATCTGAAGGGGGTTGGATTTGGACTTTAGGGATGTATCTTAGTGATACCTGTTCGTGCCTTGTCTGCACTCGGGAGAGTGCGGGCAGCTCAGTGGGGAGGGGCTGGGTGAACTTGAACCCGTGCCTTGTTTTATACTTACTAGCTCTGTTTTTCCATCAGGTTCCAGGCCAGAATCACACTGTACAGTTTTAACCCAAATACACAGCTAAGGACATGCTGCTTCCTAGGTTACTGACTGCAAAGAAAAACACCTGCCTGCAACATACCTTCAGACCCACTTCTTCGTTTCGGTACTTCCTGAAATAGTCTGTTCAGGCTCTGGCCTGGATTCTCTGTTGAAAAACAAGTGTGGTAAGAACAAAACAATCAGGGGAATGGTGGTGTTGACGATATGGGCTGTGTGACATGAAATCTGAGCTGCCTGTTGCTAAAGAAAGGGCTCAGGGCTTCCTATGCAACTTGGCAGTTACTAGAAACTTTAGAGAGGCCCTTCCCTGGCTGACCAGCCCGCGCGGGCCATGGCTCTACTGCAGGAGGAGATCGGATAGACCTAAGGAGCGGCCCAGGGCAGCAACGCTGAGAGGGTGCGAGGGAGGGAGAACTGCCTCGAAGCAAATCACCCGCCAGCCCCCAGCTCCCATTAATCATCTGGAGACATTCAATCTCGGTTAACATCACCGTGAAACGCCCCGTGTTCTTGGTGCAAATTGATGCTGTTCAAAACATCTCCTTTCTCCATTTGAGTCTAAATTTCAGGGTGTTTCAAATGTGTCTGCTAAAATGACCTCTCTATATCCCTGTTGATTTAGCAGACTGATCCCTTGTTCTTAAAGAGGGAAGGAAATCTTTAAATTATGAACGTGACTGATGTTTTATCTTTTTATGGAGGGTGGAGTAGGAAAGGTGTTTGAATAAAACTTGCATGTAGTTTGCTCAAGCCAGGCCCGTTTTGCTCATAATGCTAAACGAATCACTGATGGAACATAAATGTTGTAGGTAAGGTGACCACAGGACGCACCCTCTTCTGTGGGTGGAGGGAAGGGGGGAAAACGTGTCTGGGATATGCTCCCCACAGAGCACCAGCTCTGCGTGAGGATGGAGCCCAGCCGATCCTGCTGCTATGGGCTGTGTGGGATCTCTTCCCAGCTGGAGGCCAGCACCCAAGGCCACCTGGCCCCACAGACACTAAACATGCCAGGATGTTGTGCATCATGTAATTCCCTCCAATTTGATACATGGTATTATTATTAAAACACTGAGTTGCCTAAGTGCTGAGTGTTTCAAAAGCCAGATCTCCTGTATCTAACAGCCTTAGCTCATGCCGGTCCACCCTTGAGCTCTGGACAAGATAGGACTAGAGAGAATTTTACCTGATGTGATGTACAAATGTTTTAATCACACGCACACACACAGACATAGATACACACAACTCTGTGACGGGCTCACGTGCTGGCACCGGCCCACGCCAGTCTCTCACCTCTTTGTCTGCCTTGGATGCTGCGGAGAGCCAGGATGTTCTGCTCGTCGGAGAGGAACTGCTTCATCTTGTGAAATGGCTCCTTGCCGCGAACAGTCAGTTTATTCCATGGCTTGGGCCGGGCCAGAATCTCGCTCACGGACCCTTGAGACAGTCCCAAGACGTAATGTCCAAAAATGCGCTGTCCGATATTGTGCTTGATCAGCTGCTCTTTGACCTGCCGGGCGATTTCTGCAGTGTCCATCTCCTCGCCCTCGGAGACGCTCCCAGCACTTTCTGACTGGCTGGGGGACGGGGCCATGCCATTTACATCTGGGCTTTGTTGTAATGGACTTTGGGAAGATATGGAGTTTGTGCTGTATGGACCTGTTGAAAAAATCATGCTTGTGCTTCCTGCTTCCTGCATGGCCTTGGAGTAGAAGGACTGCATTAGCTGTCGCTGGAGGAGAGAGTTTAGTGCAAATTTTCCTGTAGAAGCCAGGGGTAGGCTGGGGCTTGCCAGGGATGAGCTGAAAAAGTCTTGACTTAACCCCGCTGGTGAGAACTGGTGTGTACCGTTAGTATTGGAAGCCTGCTCCCCCGTGTTGCGGGGCAACTGAGGAGGAGGGGAGGCCGGCAAAGGTCCAGGGCGCCGACTCTCAGGCTGGTCTTTCCCTTTTCTCCTGGCTGACCCTACAAGGAAGGGCAAACAGAATGCATTATGGGGGATTCCAAAGGGAAAAAAAACCAAGACCAAAATGCAAAGTTTGCTCCACAAAAGGGAAAAAAAAAAGTGCAGATTTTACAAGGGCCAATGAGGTGTGTTGGTTTGTTTTTCGATTGAATTTGTAAGTCAGCCAAACAAGGCCCCCCAACACAAGCAACATGCATTCATGTTTGCGCCTTTCTTGTACGTTGCAGCCTGGAGAATCCCCTAGACATAGATTCAAACTCCTAATGTGGCAAGGAGCCGGTAACACACACAGGGAAGAGTCGACAGGTCGCATCGGGCCTGGCATGGGGCCTCTGGCCTTCTCGCTATTACCAGAAGGGCCCGCCTGAGGAGCAGCAAACACTGACATGTTAGGACCAATGGGTTCGCTCACACCTCTTGCTCTGAGTCCACTCGATCGGAGGCGCGCACATTTTAAGAATGCAATATCATCGAAGCCCGAGACACCTTTAAACGGTTTACCAGCTGCCAAAACCAGAAGCACAGTCAGTGACGCCACCATTTTGGGATGAGCAAAGAAAGGCTAAGGATGGGGGACGCATCCCCAAGGAAAACCTGACAAAGGAAGAAAAGCTCCACTGAGCCCAGAGGGGCAGGGGCTAGCCCCCTAAGCAGCCCCTGGAAACACCACCAGACAGAGGCCCAGCACGCATGTGCCCCAGGCCTACGTGCAGCACAACCAGACACAGATCAGAACAGCCAACGTCCTCTGCTGGTCCCTCCTAGGGTCTCCAGCCACACTGCCCCTAACTGACCTCCGCAGACGTTCTGCGGCTCACGAATCTCGGAGTCCGGCTTTAAGCAGGGGTGGGGAGGGGAGGGAGAGTGGTGAGGAGGAGGAGACCCAACACTCGTTAGTCAAGGTTCTCGTCAACCGGCGATGCTCCCGCCATGCGTCAGCCCAGACTCACGGTTCACCTTCCTCTTCCTCGAGCCCTGGAAGCGAACCAAGCACCGCGCGAGGCCTGGCCAACCTACCGCTCAGGTCGCTGTTGGAGATGCGCAGCGCGGCGTTCTCGGACTGCAGCGAGCGGTTCTTCTCCAGCAGCAGCACCTCCAGGGGCTTGGCCGCGTCCTAGACGGGGCAGAGTGGGGCTCACCGCGGGGCCCACCGTGGAGCGGCCACCCACCGCCCCTGTACTCTGTGCTTGCCCACCTTCCCTCGCAGCTCTGCATCTGACTCCGACAGGGACAGATTTCCCCCACGTATGTTTAACACATACGTGGACAACATTCACGTGCCTTTTAAAAAGTATTAATTTCAGCTGAAGTCTTTTCTCTCTTCTGCTTAGACCTGCATTGCTTCTCTAGACAGTTAATCACTCTCTAATCTATCCTCAAACTCAAGCAGTCGAAACCTGTGTCTCATCTGGCAGCAGGACCAGCTGCTGGCCACAGCTCTGTGTCAGGAAGTGACTGTAGCAGTAACCCTTCTCTTTCTGCTAGCCACGGAGGTGTGTGCTGCCTTCTGGTTGCCAGGAGTGAGATGCCACATGTGACATAAATTCTAGCTGGCCACCAGATGACCCTGCACCTGTGTCATCCTGCCCCTGGGGCTTCTCCTCTGAAGTGGCACGTGAAGTTCCTAAGCCAGTCCTTTTCTGGCTATTCCTCAACACGGTCTGAAATTGTATTTTTATCCACGTTCTTAGTATCTGCCCAAGTGAGATCACAGTTTCACTTGAATGGAGTTACCAATTTGGAAAATGCTAACTTTTCTCTTTTTGCCTCTTTTTAGTTAAAGATAATTTGCTTTAACTTGGTTAAATGTTCTTGATGAGTAACTCGTCAGCTGTAAACAAGAGGCCTCAAATGAATATCGAGACAGAGAAGCACGCCTGCCCACGGGACCAACGGTGACCAGCACTGCTGACGCCGAAAGTAAAGTGAGACCGTGTACCTGTGTCCCAGCTCCCTCAGACGGTGCAAACTCCATGGACTTCAGAATACTGAAAGAGCAAGACAGAGTGGTTACCTTCTGCTTATACCTTTGCTAACAGCCACTTTAATAAACATTAACATCACAATTTCCTGCTCTCCAGGAACTGAGGAACTGACAACTTTAACAACTTCCCTGGCAATAATATAATTTGATAACGTCTCTAGAATAACTATTCAACTAGCAGTTGGCTGGCAAAAGTTTCTTGCCCAGCATGTAAATCATTCCATATGGAATCACACCAGGTCTGTTCAGAGTATAATTTTAAAGTTTAATACAGACATAACATTGTTGCAAAAGGAATGTATTTGTAAAGCTTAAAGGGAACGAAAAAGTTGTAAGAAGGAAGCTAGAGAGAGAGGAACTCATCGGCCCTGTGCTTGCTTGGTAACTTGCACCCACCAGGGACCAGGGGAACTGGGCAGAGAGTGACGTCCCACATGTAGATGGCTCAAAAGTGCAGTGGGCAGACCCTCTCTGCAGCCCCAGGCTGGGGAAGGAGCACAAAGACCAGGGAGTGGCAAGACAAGATGATTTCTCAGTCCTTCTTGTTATTAAAAGGGGCTGTGCCCTAATCACTAGAGTCTCTGGACTATCTCAACAAGTCCAAGATCTGAGCAAGTCCACATCCCCAGAACTGTTTTTCAAGTTCCTTTTGCTGTGGATGCTCCTTCCTTTCTGTGAGTCTATGTGGCCCTCAGGAGCTGCAAGTGTTCCTTTTAAATACAGAGTGGAGCATAGCAAGACTCAGAAGGGTTGGCTGCATGGTGCCAGCTGCACCTTCCCTGCCTTCCTGCAGCCACGACTTCAGCATCTGTCCTGTGAGCTCCATGGAGTGTCATCAAGACACCATGATGCGTAAAGATGCCATTACAGGCAAAGGGCCCAGAGCCCCAGGAGGTCGCTGTGCTGGGTAAACTCAGGAACTGACCTCCCATTGTTTATCTGTGGTTGCATCTTTGCAGGGGTCCTCACAACATAAACTAACAAATATAGCAACAAAGAGGAGCTACTGTGGGTAAAACATAACTTTACGGTTGCTGTTGAAAGTAAAGACATGTCTGTACCCCTTCACATCAGACAGGAGAGATGTGATGAGCCATCTGGACAAACTTGTCTTCTTAGTGGGCTTCACTGATGTTTGCTACTATACTCTTGCCCCTTGTTTGATATGTATTATACTAAAAACATAAGTGTCTCCTCAATTATTCAACAAATCTTCACCAAAGGCCTGGGACGTGCCTGGCCCCAGGAGGAGCAGAACCACTCCTGACCCTCATCCCATGAAACCGACAGGCCACCACAGGTCACAGATGAACATCCAGATGGTATGCAGAAAGAAAACCTGCTGGGGACCCTTGGCAGGGGGATCTCCTTGTGCTGGAGGACCCTACTACAGCACAGCCTGTCAGGGGCAGAGGGGGAGGATGTGGAGATGGGATAGGGAGGGGACATGGCTATGTGTCCCAGAGGACACTTGGTTCACTGGGAAGTGGGAAGCCAGGAACACATTCTTCTTTAAGAAATTGTCTCGCTACATTGCCCAGGCTAGAGACAAACTTGTGGGCTCAAGTGATCCTCCTGCCTTGGCCTCCCAAGCGGCTGGGGCTGCACGTGCGTATCACCACACCTGGCTTTCAGGAACACATTTTGGCAGGAAAGCCACCTGAGTGGAGCTTTGAGATGTCTGTGTGGGGGCCTAGCGCTGTGTACAGATGCAACAGAGGGGCCGGCAGGAATGTGGGCAGCAGGGGGCTGAGTGCCAGCCTGCAGCACAGCAGATGACAGATAGGAGGTAACAGACAGGTGCAGGTTGTAGGCTAGAGCTCAGAAGCCCTGGCTCCTGTGGAAAGAGGTGAGCCTGGTGGAGGAGGAAGAGAAGGACAGAGGATGATGACCAAGCCCTAGGACAGGAGGGAGGGGCTGGGCGAAGGCCTTCACAGTGCAGTTTCTCTGGCTCAAGACTAGAAGGCCTTGTTTCTTTTGCTTTCTTTCTTTTTTTTTGAAGGGGGTAGAAGAGGGAAAGACTGGGAGAGGGGAGGCAGGAATAGAAGGTCAACCAGATAAAAATAAGTCGCAGAGGCTGGAACTACCAGTCAGGGTTGGGGTCCATCCGTGGAGGTGCTGGCAGAGGCTGCAGCCAGAGGAGGGTGGGGAGAGAGCGCCCTGGCAAGGGAGGTCATGGCCAAGAGGAGGCTGAGAAGTTCAAAGAAGCCATCCAGGGAGCTTTGTCAGCAGGCAGCAGACCCGAGAGAACAGAATTAAGAATACAAAAGAACACCAAGGCCAGTGGGTATCGGCTTGTCTTAAAAGGAGAAACTGAAAATATCAGCAAGCGAGAAAGTGACTGATGGAACAGCAGGAGCAGCAGGAAGGAGGGGAGCTGGGGTCTTGGTGTAAGGGTCACCTAGAGAGACGGGGGTAGAGCTTAAGACCAGAGGAGGGAGTCCAGGCAAAGGGGGAGCCATGTGCCCATTCTGGGGCTGACTGTGGGCTCCAGGTTGGGGAGGGGCTGTCGAGTATGGAGCACAATGGACTTGGGGACAGGTAGGAACCAGGATGGAGGAGAAGGCAGAGGTAGGAGGGCCAGGCTGGAGGCTAGGGCCCAAGAAGGGAACCTCCAAGCCGGAGAACTTCAGGTCAGCCCCACAGCTGGGACAGGCTTTCAGCTGTGGCCCCCAACAAGGGGAACGGAGGGTAGGAGGCGGCAGCGGTGCACACTTTCAATCACAAAATGTCTCCCTCCTCTGCTCTGCTTCTGTTTGGGGAATTTATGGCTGAAAACAAGCTATTTTATCATTTTTGTAAAGGCAATGGTTCTGTGCATATTGGAATATTTTAAATGCACAAAGTTTTATAAAAATGTCCAAAGAATTCAGGGACAGTGTCGGATAGCCTGGGACTCCGTGTAGTGGCAGAGCGCAGGCTGAATTTACATGCCTCTGCCAAGACTGAGTGCAAGGGGCCGAGGCTGCCCTGTCGCCAGTTGGCATTTGGTAGCAGATGGCCCTGATGAACCCCAGCTTGTGAGGGCCACAGGCGTCTCCGTACTTACTTCAGCTCTTTCTTCACCTCTTCATAGTCAGCCTGGCCTTTGAGTTTTTCTTCCAGTTGCTGAAAACAGAGAGGAATTTTATTAGTGGCCATGTCTGACAACAGGACTTCACTGACTACATTCGCTGCAGAACACACAGCCAGCCCTGAGAGGGGATGGCAGCTCGGGCAAGTGGAAGTCGGCGATGTCGGGCCACCTCTCCTTCTGCCTGCTCCGGCCTGGCCAGTGTGAGTGCGTGCACGTGCGTGCGTGCACACACAGCAACACAAGGTTATGACACAGAACTTAATAAAAGAGAAGGAAAAAGCTTTACGGAGGTGGAAAACAGATGAGGAAAAGCCCACTTGGTATGGTATGCCGTGGAACAGCAGACGGAGGAAGAGCAGCTCTCCTGGAGTTTAAAAGCAGCGTGTAGTTTTTCACAAGTATGTTAGGCTAACTGACTCATACAGCTGGTTGTCAACACCTTCAGTGAGGCCCCTAATGGGAGATGCGCAAGCCCACTGTTGAGCAAGGGCTTTGCACAGGCCTCAGGAAATGCACATTTGCATTCCTAAACCCCGGATTGTTGGAATTTTTGGGATGGAGGCCTGTTAAGATGGGTGCTGGGTGGTTTCCCCAACAGGCTGATAGCCCGCGAGCCCTGCAGGGACAGCCTGCTGCTCCTCCTGGGGGTGCTGACCAACGAGGTCGCAACAAGCACAGGGCTCCTGAGCACACACATACACTGCTCCTCGGGGAGCAGTGGCCATTTCCGAAGTATGATGATGCTCTGACGTGCTCCAGAAAAGTCTGGATGTTTGTGTGGCCATTTCTGCCCACACCTCTGCAGGGCATTCATGCTGGGAAGTGCTGTGGGTATGGGGTAGTCGGTGGGGGGTGCTTCCTTTTGCAAAGGGATTTTGGACCAGTTTGCTTTGACCTTTTCCAAAGGGAGCTCCATATAGAACATGGAGACCCAGGGGAGGGCATTGGCGATTCAGCGTGTCTCTAAGCTCGAGGTGAACAAATGCCACTTCCTGAATTGCTAGCACCTTCCCCTCCACAGGGCTTCCAGGCACCTTTTTATAGTAGCTGCTGCTTGACCAGCCACAAGCAGGACCAGAGCTTAAAGCCAACTGAGAACACCCTAGAGTTTGGGGAAGAGATGGCCATCTGAATCCCCATCTGCCCACGGTTTCAAGAATTCAGGTATTCTGTAAACTAAATTCATTTAGCACGTCCTTTTCTGTTGCCTTTGCTGGCAATTTCTTGTGTGTGCATTTTCCATTGCGTAAAATTGCTCTGCCCTAGTTCCTTTTTAAAACCTCTTGCCAACTTTAGATGCTATAACGGTTTTCTCAGTCATAATCAAACAGGGCGTAGTAGGTACTCATTTTCCTACAAAAGATTCTCAGAAGGTGCTCGTAAGGAAGTGATTATTTCATTCTCTTCCCTATAGTCAAATAGCAGGAGGCACTGATGTGCCAACCCTCCCTCGCAGAAGATTACCCAGTGTTTCTGGCATGGAACACGCATGCCAGGCTGTGGAACTCACTGGCCCTGGATACAGAACATTCATGAACTTGGTTGTATCCACAGAACGGGAGAAAGTTGGCAAGAAGTGTGGGGAGAGGAACACATGGAAGAGTCTAGAACCCGGTGTGGCAAAGGCCAAGAAGGCTGATGGTCTGAATCTGGAGTCTAAGCCTGTCACCTATGAGCTGGGTGCCTTTGAATGAGTAAATAAACTTCTCATCTGTAAAATGGGAATAACAGCAATCACCTCAAAGGGTCACACAAAGCAAAGAACCGGTGCAGACTCCCATCCTCTCTGAAAACACGTGCTTCCTCCTGTGCTGTCCTACTATCTCATACACTGATCTAATGATCACAACAGTTGTACAGATGTATCTGCCCAAGGAAAGGAAAAAATTCTCCAAGTTTCTACAACACAGCCCCTGACAGACCTCAGGGTGCCCTCCCCGCCCACAGCAGTTCAGAGAGGACAGGACACCCGTGAGCCTGGGGCCTGGGGTCCAGTGGATCCTGGCTCTGCCACATCTTTGTAGGGTAACCTCAGACAAGACTTAACTTCTACAAGCCTCAGTTTCTTCATCTATAAAATGGGGATAATGGCACATATGCCAGTGCTTTCAAGAGGATTAAATGAGATGCTGCACATTAAGTGCTTAGCACAGAGCTGGGCGCTAGGGCAGCACCCCATAAACGGTGCTTGTTATTGCTGTCCCTATTTTTTTTTTTTTCTTTTTGGAGACAGGGTCTTACTCTTACAGGGGCAGAGTGGCACCCACGACATAGAGGAACAGGGCCAGGCTCTCTGTGGTGATGGCTGAAGACCCATTGGCTCAGGTTAGGGGCATTGGTGTGGGAATGTTTGGCCTTACCAGGACCCCCCCCCACTGTTTCAGAACAGTGGTCTAAGACAGACCCCTGGCTGACACCACACCCCTGGGGTCCAGGCCTGGGTAGCATGTACAGGTAGTACGAGGACACTCCCGACACAAATGCCCGACCTCCACAGTTCTTGGGGAGAGGCAGCCGCTATGTAAATTTAAGACCTACTGAGGCAGGGCCTAGGGGAGGAGCCCAGAGAGACCCCTGGTGCCTGGAGCTTCCCGGAACCCATCAAAGCACCGGGCTGCTGCTGCGCGCGCGGCCTGTTGGGATGCTGAGAATGCACGACCAAGAGAGACTCCCCAAGGCCAGAGGGTGGGGGACAGTGAGGGTCACACCTCGGGCTTGCTCTTTGCCCCAAAATGCAGGGTCCTGGCACCTCACAGACTGGAAGTTAGAGCAGGAAGAGCCGCAGAGCTGACACAGTGTGGCTCTGCATAGAAAAGGAGGGATGTCTGCATGGCACATGTGCCACCAGTCACCTCCCAATTCCAGGAACTGGGATCAGGTGTGACCCAGACATAGGGCAGACAGGAGCCAATCCCTCCCGGAACAGGGCCACCACAGGCTGTGAGGGACTTGGCTCCTATTTAGGCCACTGGGATAATGCATGTCAGTGAAGTGTGCTGGAAGCTGGGGGCTGTCTACACCTGAAATATCTGGATTTGTTTACCAAGTGATGAGTGCAAGTGTGTCTTTCCAAGAGGATTCACCATAGATTTCCCCAAATAACTAGAGATTACATAGAGACACATTTATAACCTCCTACTGTCAGCCAGATGACACCTCAGCCCTAACAAGGCACCCGAGGCCTCTAGCAAAGGGCCCCTCAGTTTTGGTTTTGGCAGGATGGCCCCAGGGTGTCGCCACTGCTGCCAGGTGGATCTACCTGTTTCCTGCACCCAGACTGCACTCCCCCTCCCCTCCTCAAATCTGTGCTCACAGAGCCTTCAAGACTCTGCCAGGACAACACTATGCCAGGGGAGTCTCAACCCCTGGGCGCTGCTCGGACAGCAGAACTTGCTCAGCCTTCCTGGAGGTGCGTCTCTCCCCCTGCTGGCTCCCAGTGGCTGTAGGCTGCCCTGGAGGGACATGCAGGGGCCTTGGTGTCAGATGGGGCTGAGCCTCCTCTGCAGCCCCAGGCAGGACAGCTCCGGATCTGACCTGGTCCATAAGATAATGACCACTGTCCTGCCCACTCATGTGGGGGATGGACATCAGAGCTTTAGAAACTCTTTATAGATACTTATAATGTCCTTAAAGGCCAAGTGAAGCAGCGTGAGGGCAGGCCCAGCACAGGTGACAGGCTAGGACACAGCAGGACAAGGGAACTTCACCACCACACAGGCAGAGTCTAGAGGTGTGTTTACCTTGTCCAGAATCACAGGCACAGAGTGAGTGCAAAGAAATGCTCATCAGTCCTGCAGGGCCCCAGCACCCCTGAGGGACACAGCATCCTCCCACAGTGGCTCTAGGGGACCCATCAGAACTTCAGGAGGTGGGGGAGGTGTGGGAAAACGTGCAGTTTGGAAGAAGACCCCCGGGTGATTCTGATACATGAGCCCACCCACCCAGTGGGAAGTACTGATCTTTAAAGCATCTGTAGAAAACATAATTTCTCCCTGCGGGACTGGCATTCTTTTAGCTAGCCTTTCTTATAAATACCGTTTTAAACTGAAGCTATTGGTAGCATTATTTTCCGTGCTACGGCAAGTATAATGCAGGTGACTGCCTAATTACACTGCCTCTATATTAAAGTGTTCCAACAGAGGACCACAGAATAGTTAGTTCTCAAAAATAGCAGCCTTGTCATGGTGGTTGGGTTATTTCATTAATTACGAATATAGAATTATCCTTTACAAGTGGCACTGCGCTTGAGCACTTGTCAGATTAGGCAGGAAGCAACATCTCCCACGTCTGAGTCTGTTTCCATGTCTATTTAAAGGTTAGTGGATGTACGGCTGTAAGTGGACAGTGATGCGTTTACTGTGAACTCTGCTTAAAAAAGAACAAGCCAGGCAAGGAGAGACTGGTCAGCACGCAGGTGTCAGGATCCTCACTCAGTGCAGGAAAGAAACCTTAGTGGCAGAGGGATGGAGAGGTTCATGGGCTGGGGAAAGCAAACCAATTAATTAGTCCCCAAGTACATTCAGTTATAGAGAGTACCAATAATCTCAAGGCTAAAGACTGCTCATTAAGCCTTCTGCCTGTGGGAGACGCCCTCTCCCCAAGTGGCTGTCATCAAACACATTGGCATTTGTCTTAAAGATCAAGGACACATTGTCAAATGCTCATGGCAAAACCACCCACCACTCTAAAAAGCTGAGAGCCGAGCTGGAAGCTGCAGCCTCCTCTCCCAAACAGCAGCCCTATTCAAGGCCCCACCGTGTGTCCCAGAGTCCCCTAGAACTGAAAAACATGGCCCAAGAAGGAAAAACAGAAGGGAAGGGAGCGGAGGAGGACAGGAAGAAGGAAGAAAGCAGCAGCCCATGGTAAGACAAGTCTGAACTTGCCCCTTGTTGCGTCTGAGTAGCCACCACTTTGGGGCCTGGGTTCCCTGTCACAAAAGCATCCAGGTCTCATTCATAAAGTATTTTCCTAATCGTTATTCCTGCTTAGTTTAGATTTGAGGCTATAAATTATACACATTAGGAAACATAAAAAGCCCTAAGAAGGTATATCATTCAATTAGCTTTATTCCTTTGGGGCGAGAGAGGACACACACATTTGGGGGCGTCTGATGCCTTTTGCATGCGGGCTCGATATCAGAGCCATCTCGCTACTCCTGGTGACAAGGGGTTAAGATAATTAAAATCAGAGAAGTCTTGTTACTAGAGGATATGTTTTGATTATTAGATCAGATGAAGATAGGGGAGCAATAATTTTGGAAGAAGTATTGCCGAATTGTTTCATTAACTGCACAGTATTAAAGAATTCCCCCAAGATACGGATAAAGAACATTAATTTGTGAAACTGCGTCTCATTTTTTTGTGAAGGCAAACATTAAAACCTTAACTGATTTAGAAGAAATTGCTCTATAATAAAAAATGTGAGGTCTCTAGCCTTCTTCTCTTGTAGCCACATGCAGGCTGTATCTGAGCCGTGCCCTTTAACGGAAGCAGAGGAGAGGAAGGCAAATTATCTAATCATAATGCCACCACTAGGGTCACAAATGGCTGTAACATGAGAAAATTAGATTTAATCTAGAAATAAAAAATGAGTACTGGTACTCATCGGGCAGTAGGACACGCTGGAGAAATAAACGGCCCGGCTGTGACAGATGTGACCAGGCTTCAACCATCTCCCCAACGTCGGCAGGGCCGTCTCCTCACAGGGACCCGGAACCGGGCAGTTTCTCAGACAGTGGATGAAATGCACCCCAAAGACGCAGAGAAGAAACGAGCAGGGGAGGGCTGTGCGGGTCGCCAGGGTCAGCAACAGACTTGCTGGAAGTTTAGTTCTGGGTTAAATTTGGTCGTGTCGAGAAGAAAATCTCGATTAAATAAAAAATCAAAATGAGCTTAACCACATTCTAGAATTACTTTATATCAGAAAAAGTTTTCTTTCAATGTTTACAACTCACCCTAATCCATTTCGTTTTGTCAGCTACATGTTCGTTCACGCACTCAGCCCGGGACAGGGGGCGGACGTGAGTAGGCGGCCCACGGCAGAGTGGGGGGTGGCGAGACCCCTGCTGGTCCTGCCTAAGACATCTCCCAGAGTCCCTCTTAGCTCTGACACCTATGAATCTAGGGTTCCAGAACCCGCTTCAAATTATACTTGCTTCAACAGATTGCAAATGCTTTAAAGTATAATAATCATTTTTTAATATATGAAAAAGTTCTGAGTTCTGCATTTGAGATACAGATTTATTAGAAAGCCCAGACCTAGCTTCTGCCTAATGAGACCGTGTGGGAGGGAGACCGAGTGTGTGGCTTCCTGTGCTGAAGAGACACTGAGCTTTGGGGCCACAGAGAGAAAAGCACTTGAACGAGGGAACATCCCCTAGCTCAGGAGCTCAGATGTGACCTCAGCGGACCTCTGGGCTTTCATTTAATTCAGGCACAGGAAGAGCCAGAGTTTTAGTGGGCTGGGTCCTCCCGCTGGGGCATCCTCTGAAAGCCAGGGATGTCCAGCAGAACTGGACTAAAGGGCTGTCTATATAAATGGCCACTCACCTTGACTCCTCCTGCCCCCAAACCCAACATGAGAAAGCACAGACTCTCCGTGAGCACCAGACATGGGCAGACGCCAGGGATGGGACTTCCACCCAGTCTGGGGACACTTGTGCTGCATGTAAGGACTGGCCTGGCAAGAGAGGATGGCAGGGTTCAAAAACAGTCTCCTTGGCGTGGGCTTTGGGACTCTGCTTTGAGCTACCTCAAAGGGAGGTTAGGGTTGCCACAACTGCTGTTAATTCAAGGAAGGCGGAGGGTGTACGTGTGGTGTGTACACGCGTGTCCAGCTGCCCACCATCCCTCCCTGGGGTGGCTTGCCGGCCCCCGTGATGCCCTTACTTTGAGCGTGCTGTTCTTGGCGCTCAGCTGCTGCTCGAGCTGGGAGATCTGGCTGGCCGAGTTCTCCCGCAGCTTGGTGAGGCTGGCCTGGAGTCTCTGCACGTCTTCCACCAGCTGGGCGATCTCCCGCTCTTTGGCGGCCAACTCAACTTCCAGGCTAGAGCGGGTCAGTACCTCTATGGCCTGCTCCTGGGGAGGAGAAAAGAAATGACAAAACTGCACTGGCTTTGGGGCAGGTGCTCGGGGTTACCTGTGTTGGCAACCGAAGCAGAAACCTCCGATTTCAGGGTGTGGATGGTGAGCTCATGGCGGGACGCTGCTTTGTGCCTTTGCCTGGACACGACCTGCCCTTTGCCTCACCCCCCATGCCACCTTCTATCCACATGGTAGCTGCCACCTGGATTTGTTTTCTGGACAAATATGGGTACCCACCATGTACCAGGCACACAGCAGTGAGTAAAAGCAGTGAGTCTTCACAGGGCTTGCAGTGTAGTGGGGCTGGGGCGGGGTGGGTGACACGCAGTGTATGCATTTATCAGTAATGAAAAGTGTGCAAGGAGGTGACAAGTGCTAAGAAAACCTAAAGCAGGGGGAGGCCATGGGAGTCAGAGTTGACAGAGGCAGAGTTTTAACAAGATGGTCAGGAAAAGTCACCCAGGCAGTGCCATGTGAGTGAGGATCTCAGGGGAGGGCACCTGCTGAGAGTTGGGGACAGGGAACAGCAGGCCGGGTGGCTCAGAGGAGGGCCCCTGGAGTGCTGCTGAGGCGCCTAGATTTTTTCCCACAAGATGAGATTCAAGCCTTTGGATTCATTGTTAAATTGTCCAAAAACTGAGATATTATTTGACAAATCGATTCTCAGAGTCAGTATTAGAGAGAAAAAAGTTAAAAGACATGGAAGTTGTATATTTGGTGTTCCTTTGTTTAGGAACTTTGATGGCAACTGATTTTTTTAAAAACTGATTTTTATGTTCTCCTTATGCTCACTGGGGAAAATATGCAAAACAAAAAGGTATTAAAACAAAAGAAAAAGTCAAATCTATAATTCTACTTCCCAATGACTCAAGCAGTATTCTTTTCAAGCTTTAAAAGTAATCATAGCTCCTGATGATTCTGGAAGCTTTTCTGCAGGGCAGATCACTTCAGGGTGTGACAGACAGGAAGGCGGGTAGAGGGGGAGGGCTGCACAGCATCTGTGACAGCAGAACCTGGGGGCAGCATGGAAAGCCACCGTCCTTGCCATGGCCCCCCCCTTGCAGCCCTGGCTAGCAGGTGTAGCCAGGCTACTCCACGAATGGTGTGCTTGTCACCGGTTTGCATACCTGGGGACAGTCACCCAGGGAAGTGATTTTTCACATCTCCTTCCTGGGAAGTTAAGGTCTGTGTCATTTAAGTCTGCAAAGTTTTGTGTACAAAGAAGTGACTTCTGTCTGTTTCTTTGATTTCTACGATCCCCTAAACTAGGTGGCTCATGTCTCCTGACTCCTGGAAGATGTGCACGAGGCCCTGGGGCCCCAGGGAGTGTCTCCACTGGCTTATTTACAAGGCGCATGCTGTCCAGACCAGTTCTGCTTAGCGTGTGCTCCACGGACTGATGCCAAGTCACAAACTGGTGCCGGTGCACAGTGAGGCAAGCACAGAAACCGAGAGTAAGTGTTTAGAAGCTTTTATAGCGACTCGACATTTCAGTGACATTTCAATTGTCTTTTATAAAACTATCAGTCTGCAACAGACTGGAAATTTAAAAAACAAAACAAAATTGTCCTTCATCATAGAGAGTTTGGAAAGCGCCATCCTGGGCAACACCAGCTGGGCCCAGCGTCGGGAGCCCTGGGACGGGTCATACAAGCAGTGCCAGGAAGTGAGAGCCTCGCGGAGGACCAGGTGGAGGTGAGCCCCGAGGGCTGGCAGGGCCTGGTAAGAGCACAGGGGCCCCATGTCAGGGTGGGCACAGGGGAAGGGCAGGAGACACCACAGGCAGGCACAAGGGTGGCAGGGAGCAGGGCCTGAGCGGTAGCCGACGCGCGGGGCAGCTTGCAAGGGCGTGAGCACGGGGGCACCTGATGGGGGACGCTCCAAAGGGCGGCCAGCCATGGGGAGCCTGGAGGGGACACGATGGAGGTGACATCCAGGGAGATGAATCTGATAGTGGCACACACTGAACCACAGACCTTAGGTCACTCATCTTATCAATGTCCCACCCTGATGGGTGTGGCCATAAATGCTGCCTAAAGGGCTCTTACGAAAAGAGTCTGTGACATTAGTGGGAAGTCACCTGGGCTTTACAACAACCAAGTACAACTCAATGTATTGGGGACAAGAGGTTCAAATAAGCATGTGCCAAAACTGCAGCTCCCAGTGCTGGCCCTGAACCCAGCTGGGGGACCTGGGCGAGGGCAGGCCTCTTAGGGCTGTTTGCTCAACTCCTGGGGCCCCGTTGGGCATGGCCACAAGCCCAAGGCCCCGTCATCTAACTCGCAGGAAACTGAGCAACAAGCTCCTCATTCATAATGGAGCAAAAATCATTGCTGTCTTGAATGAACAAAACGAGATGAGAAAATTGCCCCAAAGCACTAAGACCTTGGAAAAAGACACAGCCCAAACCATGGCTCACTCCCACATGGGGGGCACTCCTGGGTGTCCTGTTGTAAGGTCACAACAGAGAACTAAGACAGAAACGGAGAAAGGCTGGGGGAATGGTCCAGGGGCTGGGGGCCGAGGGGGAGGGACCGACATGGCAGGGTGGACGACGAGGGGATGGCAGCGTGCCGAGGGGATGGCAGCGTGCAGGCTCCGGGGCGGAGGGTGTTAGGCAGCGAAGAAGCCAGCAAGCTCGTGAGCCGGGGCACAGGGGACATGCTGGAGCACGTGTGGGTTCAGAGAGGCTGGGACCACTGGCCCCGCACATCTGTCCAAGGTGCAACTCAGCTGCACCCCGTGGGAACTTTAGAAAACATACGGGTCCTGGCCCTCACCATGGAGCCTGGGATTCGTGGGCCTGAGGTAGGGCCCAGCGTCACACTCTGGCTCAGACAGTGAACGTGACAATAGGTCACCATGGGCACCACTACTGGGATGCTGACCTAGGTGTCCTGCCCAGCACAGACGTTCCCATGGCTCCAGGCCTCTAGGACCGAGAAGGCATCCTACATTCCTTCCGATCTGGTGGTGCAGGAGCCAGGAGAGGATACGTCGGAACACTCGGCAGAACTAAGAACAGTGTAAAGGATGGAAGCGTTCGAGGCCATGGCAGTGGTGGAGTGTGTTTCCCAAGGGAAAGATGAACGCAGAAGTTACTGACGTGGTATTGCCAACTTTTATCCCTTTGAACGCACTCATCTCCCTTTACTCCCAACCTGTTGGTGTGACATACCCCAAACTGCAGAGCTGACCCCTAAGCCCTCCTGCTGGGACCAGAGCATTGAGGCTGCACCTAGCAAGAGGAGGATTTGTCCTGTACCCTACCCGGGGGGACTAACGTTTGGAGTGTAGGCTGCTCTACTTTTTCTTCATTTTTTTAAAGACGGGTTCTCACTCTTGTCATCTAGGTTGGAGTGCAGTGGCGAGATCACAGCTCGCTGCAGCCTCAAACTCCTGGGCTCAAGCGATCCTCCTGCCTCGGCCTCCCAAGGGCTGGGATCATAGGCGTGAGCCAGCACACTGGCCTGCTCTTAGTTTATTTGCTGCCCTGGGGAGAGATGAGGGGATGGGACTCAGCCTTCTCTTTCTTATTGCCACCGGTCTCTGCCACCACCACAAGCAAAGTCGGATGGATGCTACCAAGGTGTGTTCATTTGCTAGATTCACCTGATAGACAGGCGTATTTTCCAATGTTACAGTTTGTTTGGGTTCAAAAAGGAGGCCTGGTGTGCTGCACTAGGGCCCCGAACTAATATTCGTCTGCGAACACTTTACAAAGGGCTGTCATGTGTCTCATCTCATTCAGTGCCCATGAAGGAGGAATTGGTCGATGTAGGGGAAAAAGAAGGGACTTTGTAGTAGGATAAACTTAGGTCCACATTCCAGCGTGACCACTTTCTAGCCACACGGTCGTGGGCGAATTGCTTAGACTTGTCTGAGCCTCAGTTTCCCTACCTGTAAAACAACAGTAACAGCAAGACTTTCCTCTGACGACAGTGGTGTCAGGAGGAGGAAATGAATTAACTATGTAAAGCCCACTGTGGCTGCTGAGTCAGAGTGGCCTGCTGAGCGCTCACCTTCTAGAACTGGTGATTCCGCTGAGACACCCCTCAGATTGGCTTTGGCCTTTGCTAGATCTATAGACTCTACTGTTTCTCCGCCGCCTTCTGCCAGCCAAGCTCAACAGACCATTTTTCCGCTGGCGCGTTTCCTATGTTTGCTCCCCAACTGGCTGGAGCTGCAACTCGCGGGCTGCTTGGGAACACACACCCGAGGAGAGCCCCGCAGGGCCGCTCTTGGCAGACGGAGCCAGTGCCATGTAAACACTGCACTTAACCGATGATGAAGTGTTTAAGCACCCCTAGGATCCACAACTGAGTCTACCTGCAAAAACATTCATTTCCTTCTGAAATGCTCTGGTGGCTGCAGTCCAGGATGGTGCCAGAATTCGCTTCAACCAAAACATTGAGCTCAGGAGTCCTGTGTGGACATGTCTGAACGGATGGCTTCCTTTATAGGACCCAGTGGGACCCCAGAGGCCGGGAGAAGCTGTGACCTGATCCTGAAGGCTTCCTCCCACCTGGTCTTGGCGCGGTATCCACTACATCTAACCGCAGAGGAGGGAGCAGGAGGAGCTATGGGGTCACCTCGGTTAAAACTGAGTACCAGAGCCCATGAAGTACGAAGGGCGTGATTGGCCCCTTAAATGGAAATCTTTTCTCTATCTCCTGAAATGCTTAAATCATGTTTTATTTAATGTTAATTAAAAGAAAACTAAAACTCATTTTTCAAAGAGAGTCCTAACACTAACACTGCTATAGGCTCATACCCAGGGAGGAACTGACAAGCCCTGGGCTTGCGGGTGAGAAGGCCCCACCCGGCCCTGGCCGGCCGGTTGACCGACCTGCTTGGGGCGAAGTGTTCATATCCAAGGAGCTTCTGTGTCCTCATCCACGTAAGGAAGTAACTACACCCTGTGTTATGGACTGGGTGGAACGATGGCTGTCGAACTGACAGCTGAATGTTTTATAGCATCAAGTCTTCCCTCGTCACTGTTCTCCCAGTGTCCACACAGGCCCTGGCCACAGCAAGGACTCAGCGAATCTTTTTTTTTTTTTTTTTTTTTGAGACAGAGTCTCGCTTGTTGCCCAGGCTAGAGTGAGTGCCATGGCGTCAGCCTAGCTCACAGCAACCTCAAACTCCTGGCTCAAGCAATCCTGCTGCCTCAGCCTCCCAAGTAGCTGGGACTACAGGCATGTGCCACCATGCCCGGCTAATTTTATATATATATTAGTTGGCCAATTAATTTCTTTCTATTTATAGTAGAGACGGGGTCTCGCTCTTGCTCAGGCTGGTTTCGAACTCCTGACCTCGAGCAATCCGCCCGCCTCAGCCTCCCAGAGTGCTAGGATTACAGGCGTGAGCCACCGCGCCCGGCTCTCAGCGAATCTTTGTTCAATTAAAGGACCCCTCCAAGTGCCAGGTACCCATCGTAGCCTGACAGAGCTAACTGGACCTCAGGATCACTGAATCCTTGTTTACTACGTGGGGAAAGGAAGGTTTGGAAGTGAACGAGTGAGGAGCCACGTGCCTAGAAATTGGGGGATCAGAGACGATGGCGCTGACCACAGTAGGAATAAGTGCCAGGGTTGGCTGAGGTCTTCCCGTGTGTGCCGAGTCTTACTCTAAGTCAGGCGTCCTCAAACTGCGGCCCGCGGGTCATACTCGGGCCGCTTAGCACATTTATCCGGCCCTCCGGGTGTTTTTGCTACCGCTGCCTGTTCTGCTTAGCAGCCGACTCGTCCCGGGCCAACAGTGCGCATTCTCCAACAGTCTGAGGGACAGTGAACTGGCCCCCTGTTTAAAAAGTTTGAGGACCCCTGCTCTAAGTGCTCATGATAACCTGCCGAGCCCCCATGGGACCCCTTTTTATTGATGGTGGCGCAGAGACGCAGGGAGGGTCCGCCCCTGGCCCAGGTCTACAGCTAACACATCGGACAGCTGGGGTCCAACCCCAGGGCTGCGGCCCCAACCTCTGGGGTCTCCACTCTCATGCTGCTCCATGTCACCACATGGCACCGAAGGAAAGAGTTGGACCGTAGTTCAAAGCCACCTTGAGCAGGCTGGGAGAGCTCTGGCTAAGAGCTATTTGTGTTAATTTGAGACAAATCAAGCTGCCTCCCTCCTCCTGAATGCTTGTATTTTGGGTGAGATTCTGGCTCTTACGTAAACTCAGAGCAGGTGATTTTATTACCTCTTCGCCCTCCCAGCTCTTCTTGGACTGGGTCTTCCCCCCGGAAAGACACACCTAGGAGGATAAGCGCTCAGCTTCCCCGTGCCATTCTGACTCGGCTCCAGTTTCAGGTCTCCACTCACACGCAGCAACCCCCAACCCAGGCCCGGCTGGGAAGACGTCCTGGGCGCGATGGCGTCTCACCAGCCTCCGCGCCGGCTCTGAGTGACGCCTCGCTGGCCTCCGAGCGCCCATGCATGACCAGCAAAGCTCTCCCTTCCACCGCGCAAGTTCCAGCCCCGAGTTGCTGAAAGCATTCCCCGCCAAGAAAGCAGTGCCGGTTCAAGTTATTACTCCAAAAAGAGACGTTCAAAACAAAAAGCAAGCGGCAAGCAGCGGCGACGTGAAGGAGGAGATGCCAGGCGGGCAGAGTCCCGCAGGGCCGGGCTACCCACCACGTCCGGCGCCTTCTGGATCTGCGAGGCCAGCTGCAGGGAGTGATTGGCCGACGAGAGCTGCTCCCTTAAGGTCTCCGCCTCTCTCTGCGCCACCTCTGCCCTCTGAAGGAAATGAAAAGGGGTGGAAAGAGAAAGTACATTCAGTTTAACAACTGACAATTATTACAAGAACATTCATCAATTCATGCCTGACTGACTATAATTGATTTTCCTAAACACTCAACCTAATAAATGCTAGAAAAAAACACAGAATGTGATGGATTCTTATTTTAAACAGTACAAGGAAGAAATAATTGAGCGATTATGACAGTAATTTAACGCTAGGAGCAAGGAATCCCCTGCTGGTACTAATGCTCCGGCCCACTGCATTTCCCAGACTGAATAAATACGAGTGGAAATAGAGTCTTTTGATTCAATTTCTTTCTATTCTCACAGACCAAGAAGATTTTATTGCGGGATTACTCCTGGGAGTAATTCTCACGGGTAAACAGTGAATTAAAGACACTTTGGCCATTCTCTTCCCAAAAACATGCACAATGTTGTGGTTGTTTTCCTTTAACAAGTATTTCCACAAACGTGCAGGGTGTAAATGCTGCTTCTCTGGGAAGTGCCCGCCTTATTGCAACATATTTAACCCTTCACCCAACAAAGTTTTCAAATGCCGATGCTGTCATTTTCAGCCAATCAGGCTGGTCTGGGGCCATGGAAAGGAGGGGACCCTTCTGTCACTTGCTTGTAATTCCTGCACAAGGAAACCACTGTCCCTGGGGGCCAGCCAAGGATTCCCCACGGGACGGTGGGGACAGGCTGCTCCAGAGCCCACCCCCTGAGAGGGCATCTGGAAACAGAGGAATCAGAGCAAGTCACCTAAGGTCACTGAGCCTCCACCTACCCATCTGTCAAATGGGAGCACTACCCCTTCTCAGAGACCTTGCGAGGATTTGTGCCCGCAGACTCCGTTTATGAATGGCCTTATCTTGGTTTTATTCTCATGGCTGAGACAAAACCCTGAGAACAAGTGCGCATGTAGGCTGCGAGTCATGTTCTAATTCTTTCTACCAGCTCACGTTCCACTAATAGAAAAGATTGACGAGGAAAGCCTGGCAGGGCAGGGGCCCCATCGTGTGTTTCCTTATTCCGTGGTGTGACAGCATGTGTCTACTAATTGCTAAGAAAGAACTCACAAAGAGACACAAGGAGTTGGCCCGCCCGGGGGAACTCGCTGATGAGTCTAGCTATGAGGAATGGGCTTGGCAACCTCCAGCCACTCTGTTGCAGCAACACTGATCTATCTGCTCTGCGTGCGGATGAATTAGGATATTTCTAACAGCAGTTCCCACTGCCCAGGAGGGTGCTGGTGGCAGCCTGCCCTGCCTCTTGGGGAGCTCTTGGAATCAACAAGCGATATAATTCACGCTGTGCCTGGCCGGGCCTGTCTACGCCCGAGCAGTCATCTCCCACTCTCTCCGCTCCACTCGGGATCTAGAACCAGCTTCACGAGAGACAGCAATGTGGCTGGTGTGGCTAGGCCGGTGGGGGTGACTTCTGGTTCATGCCAACTGCTCAACTATTAAGGCTGCAGAAAACTTTCCTCTTCTGTGAAAAAGGTTTCCCCAGTTTATTTCTAGATGTGCCACTCAACGTTTTTCTGATAATCATACCATATTACTTCAAAGTGTACTCCTTCCCTTGCTAGTCAGCTAAAGCCTTGAGCGTAAAATCCTCCTGATTCTGCCAGGTACAAGGTATATTTTGACATATTTTCCCTAGTCTCTTTGATGAGGAAAACTCTCTGTTAGCCTAGTGGAGAAGCTGTTCTGCTAGCGGCATTGCCACCCCAGCTTGTGATGCTGGCTCTGAAGTTTTCTGGAATAACCAGAGTTGGGGAAGGCCCGAGCAGCTGGCTCACGAGGGGTCCCCAGGGGCCCTTGAGGACCTCAGGCTGGCATTGAGCTGTTCAGAGCAGACATTGTCCCACCAAAGGGCCACAGCTCACAGGATAAGGGATCTAGCTGTTGCGGATTTCATCTCCAATTTGCATAATCTCTCCAGAGCACTTGCACTTGGTTTCCAAGTTCATGTGCAGACTCATCTCTGGCCTGGCCCTTTTACCACATTTGGCTTGACTTGGTTACTCTACTGAGCCTTTCTGATTACATATTTGTTTAGGATTTATATCCTGAACACATCCAAAAACTACAAAACAAAGAGCTGAGGTGGTTTGTACAGATGAACATGCACAACACAGAAGGATTAAAACTAAAAACAGGCCTCAGAGCAATTAAAGGAGAGAGCCGAGCAGGGGAGCAGACGCTGCTGTGCAGCTGCGACGATCGCTTCTGTGGCTGGTGACTAAATTTAGCCATCGCCAGCAGTCGAGGCAGAGAGGAAGGGGCTCTCTGCAGGGTCAGTGTGGGGTGTCATTTGTTTCGGGGCTCTCCTGAAGACCACCTCCACCTGTTGCTGTGTTCCTAGATGCGGACCCCAGACATCAGGGCCGCGGCTGCCCTTAGACACGCCCCCCAGCTCCTGTGGTCGCCGCAGAAGCAGAGCCATGGGGACTCTCGGCCACGCCCACTCCGAGACAGCAGGCTGGAGGCCTTCTCGTTGCCATGTCGTGGCTGCCCCACCACGAGCAGGGCACCTTGCCAAGCCCGAGCGGCTCTCCTGAGAAATGAGTAACCACTGGAAACACAGGGGAAGGTGAGGACAGAGGGGACAAAAGGGAAGGAGGGCACTGGTCCTACTGGGGAGGTGACTCTGACCACAGTGATAGAAAATAGCCTCCTGGCTGGGTGACTGAGGACCACCGGGACCACACAAGCCAAGGCCTCACAGGGGCTGCATGTGGTGACCGTGTCCAGTAAATATTATTATTATAAAGGCACGGTATGTGCTACCTTTGGTAGTCAGTACCTTTCCTTATCACAAATGGGAAGCTTTTAAAGGGGAAGAAAGTTATTAGAGGCTGTAAGCTGGTCTTCAGATTAAACTCTGTCTCCCCTCAACAGTCACCTGGAAGGTGGCAAGCAGCTAGTGACACCTCAGTTCAAGCATCCTTCCTGCTAGAGCCAAGCCAGCAAATAGTAGAGATGATTCCCACACGAGACATAGGCCAGCCCAAGAGTCACAGGTGAGTGTCGCTTCCCTAGGGCAGGTGAGGGAGGCTGTTCTGCTCTCTGGCCTGGTGTCACACTGGTCACTAGGTGATTCAGGGACAGAAGCCTCAACCATGGGCCCATAATGTCACTCATTTCTGCCCCACCCCTCAAGGGCTCCCGGGAGCCCCCAGGAAGGGAAGGGGAGGACTGCTCTCCCAAACTCGGCCCCTGAAGGAGCACACGTTAGGAAACAAACACGGGATATGGACAGCTACTTTTAGGCCTTAAAATCTGGACAATTTGACTCAGAAAACATGGAGGAGTATGGCGGGCAGGACACACAGGGGAGTGAAGGGAGGGCCTCAAGGCAGTAGTAGCCCGGCAGGGCGCAGGTTTGGGAAAAGGGCTGGGAGAACAGTCTCAGCCTGGTGCAAGACACGGCAGACCCGTGGAGAGGTGGCAGTGGCTGGAAACATTCTTGGGAGACATATTTTCTTCTCTTCCTGGAACCGAGGCTGGGACCTGAGAACTCTCAGCCCCGCCAATTTGCTGTTTCAGTTGTGGCCCGTGAGGTCTCTGGTTTTATATGGCTGGGGGTGGGGTGTCTGATCCAATCTTCTATCATTCTTGGCCTAGGATTTGTCTCTTGTCCTCATATGCAAGCATAGCCATTAAAACCTAGGACAAGGAAGTGTCCCCGGGGACACAGCAGCCCCAGGAACTGGCAATGGGCTGACCCCACCCCCACCCCACGACTACAGAGAATGCCCAGACTCCCAGAGGGAGCCCCAGTCAGGGATTCTGCAGGAAGGATGCCAGAAAGGTCTACACTGGCTGGAGACGGGAAATTTACCGCCACGCTGCGCTGGCAGCCCAAGCCTTCCTGTAGACCCGTCTGTGTTTCCGGGGGATGCGGTAGATATTGACTTGGATTTCTTTCATCAGGTCAGCCAGGCTGCTAGCTGGAACCGTGACAACACACCCATGTAAACACTGCTTGTCACAGACTGAGTCATGATTTCAGAAAAGCCAGAGAGCAAATTTCCCTGCCTTCTCCTGCTGTAAAGTCCTTGCTAACGTGCAGACCTGAGAGACGGAGGTCCCCAGGAGACTTGGGAGTAACCCGTCGCTGGCCTGGCAGAAAAGGCCCAGACTCAGCCGCGTGACAACAGTGTTTCCTGGGCAGCCCCAGCAGGGCCTGCAGGAACGGGTGCCCCCGCAGAGGCAGGAATCATGAGCCCCAGGCTACAGATGGAGACACGGAGGCGCTGGGAGACCGGGGATTTGCTACGGCCACGTGGGTAGGAAACGGTAGATCTGAGATTCCAACTCAGGTTTCCTGACTCCAAACACAAAACCTTTGGCCAAGGAACACGCCACACCTTGCTCTGGGTTACTTTCGCTCCTTGCATTTCTCTCTACACTTGGCTCCTTCTCCTCGGTGAGGTTCAATTGCGGTTTCCAACCCTAACCTCAACCTGAAGGATCTTGCATTAGGGCAGTCTCTCGCCGTAACAATCAGGCAAGTTAACGGGAGGAGGACAGCGCAACTTGAATGACTTCCTCCCGGCCCCGCTGCCATGGTTTTGTGCCACCAGCAGCTCCAATCAGCACTGCTCTAAAAGGAGGGGACGAAGGGTCAGGTGAGGGCACAGTTGGCAGACAAACCGCTGCAGGGAAGCTGGCATGTCACTGAAGCTCCCATGTCACTGCAGCCCCCAGACAGGGTTTCACATGCAGTTCAAAGTGCAAGATTGTGGCTACTCATGTACCATGAAGTCTCAGCGGTCTGAACCTTTATTTTCACCAATTAGGGTGGCGAGTTTTCATGCCAGTGCCTTGAAATTTAAGAAACAGCTGCACGTGAGAGTCAGACTTAATTGACAGATGCTGAAGTACTTTAAAGAGAGCTTCAGGTCTCAGTAGAACGTTCTGACTATAAACCTCGTGCAAAAATCATGTCGTATGCCAATGAACTAGTAAATTGCTCCTCCTGGGGGTTTCCCAGCGGGGAAGGCAGTTGGTTCAGATGTCTCTGTGCCTGCACCGGTGCCCGACTCCCTGCACACCCTCCTTCTGCCCTGCCACCTCCAGCTCATCTCTGCGGGGACTGCCTCACCCCAGGCCTGTGTCATCTCATCCTGTCCTTGCACCATGGCTGTCCCTGCTCTGCTGGCTTCTCACCTTTCCACTCCCCTTGTTTTCCAATGTTCAGCCTTCTAGAACTCAGTCTCAATCCTGCCAGGACTCCCCACTGCTCTCAGGATGAATCCATCACGCCTGTGTCCTCCCCAGACCCATCAGATCCACTCCTACCAGCGCAGCCTGCAGCCTGCAGCCTGCACCTCGGGTCTAGCTTTACTGCACAGCCCGACCAGCCTGCCTGGGTCACCTGTCCTCCTGCTGCCCACCCGGGGAGCTTTACTCCTGGTTGAAGGCCGGGCCAGGGCTGCCTTTTGTAGCTTTCCCTTAGACGTCTGCTTTTCCTCCTGTCTTTTCCCTGGTAAGTATTCTTTCAACATCCCAGGGCTTACATCTTTCCTACTAAGATTCTCTCTCGCACCAGTGGGTTCACTTCTATCTTCCCAGAATCCTAGACTTCGGAATCAAAAGGGACCCAAGGGAGCTAGACTGAGGAGAAGCTTCTCTGCCTTGGAAGTAAGTTTCCTCTCACCATGGTCCTCCACACTTGGCCATGGTTCTTTGGGGTCTTTGAGAAAAGGCCTAACCCGGTTCCCTGGCTGGCCCTTGAGAACTATGACAGAAGCCACAAAGTCCCCACCCTAAACCTTCCCTTTTGTAATCTTTTAGCATCCCAAGTTCCTAAAATTATTTCTTTTGTGCTTGGTGTCAAGTCCTTCTACCTTCTTTCCCTGCTGCCCAAAGATTAGAAATGTCCCCAACTTTCCTTCCCTTAGGGTCTCTTCCCTGTCGTGGTCACGGTGGATTCTGGATGCACCTCAGAGAGCTCTTTCCCCTACAGTGTGGCTTCTAGTCTAAAAATGGAATTTCTCAGACATGGACTGAGACAGCAGAATCACTGCTTCTGAAGACAGCAGAATCACTGCTTTGTTCATTCTAGAAACTCTATTTCTATTAATGCAGCCATGGCAGGCTATTAACGCAGGTTGAGTTGTTGGTTAGAACTTGCCCACTTCTCCCATGCTGCTGCTAGTACCTCCTGCGGGCAGGACTTGATGATTCTCCCCATCAAACCCGTACTGCTTTAGCAGCTCCAGAATGACATTTATTTAAGCATTTACTTCTTACTCTGGCATTTTATTGCTATTCCTCAAAACAGTCTGGCAAAGGAAGTACTGGCTATTGCTCCCTCCCTCTCTTCCTTTAAAAAAAATGTAAAGGCTTTAACTGTGATAAGATAGGCACAGCATAAAATTTACCATCTTAACCATTTTTAAGTGTACAGTTCAGTAGTGTCAAGGACACTCTTGTACAACCAATCTCTAGAACTTTTATACCTGGCAAAACTGAAATTCCGTACCCACTTAACAATGAATTCCTGCTTCCTTTTCCCCAGCCCCTGGCACCCGCCATTCTGGTTCCTGCCTCTATGACCCGGTCGACTATCGAGACCTTGTGTCGGGGAGTCATATCCTATTTGTCTTTTTTGAACCTGGCCATTTCCCCCTGGCACAACGCCCTCATGTTCACCCGTCTTTTGTTTTAAGTTGAAGAAATTTAAAAGGTTAAGAGACCTATCAAGGCCACACAGTCGGGAAGTTGGGACCTAAACCAAGTGTAACCTTGGCATTGGCACCTTTCCCTGCAGGCCTCTCCTAAGATGGGATCCACTGACGGACTTCAGCACCTCGAGAAGGGCATCAACTCTGCCAAACTTCCTTGGTCCCTGGGGGCTGCCCAAGGACACAGAGAATTGGCTCTGATGGTGCGTTTGACGTTCACAGAACGCGCCCAACAAACGTGAGCCCCCTGCAAAGTGCCACCCGAAGTGGGCGAGCCCAGGTCTGGCCTGGGGGGCGGGGTAGGTGGAAATGTGAGAAATGCAAATGGCAATCATGTGACAAGGAAGGCCGATGCCTTCCAGTAACCACTTCTGACCAAGAGTCTGCAGAGCTGGGCAGCACAGACCCAGCTGGACAAAGGGCCGAGCAAACCAGGTGGGCAAACCAGGCAGACGGAGCGCGCGGCAGTGCTTTACGGCCACCAGCTGTGTGGGCTGATGCGCGTGGGACTCAGTTTGAAAGAAAGGCCGAGCTGGCGGGTATGCTGCGTCCCTGTTTCCAGGTGTGGTGATTGAGTATCCAGGCTCCAAAGCCAAACTTCGGGGGTTCTGGTGCTCACTCTGCAACTGACCAGCCACTGACCTCAGTTTCCCCATCTGTGACATGGGAACCATCACAGCACTGAGCTCAGTGGCCGCTGTGAGGGCTGAGTGAGTCCATCCAGGTAAAGGGCTCAGAACAGAGCTGGGCACAGTCAGTCCCCAAGCAGTGTCTGCTACTCTATCCCTATGACAACAGTGCTACAAAGCAGGCCTCAGGGGATGCACTCCATGTGTCCTGACGTGGTGTCCTTCATACGCCAGGCCCCCCCGTGGTGAGCAGAGTATCTGGCAGGGGGACCTCCAAAAGAAACCCACTCATTCCATGATCATTCCCATGCATCTTTCACAGTGTAGACTTGCGGCTGTTTTGTTGACCAAGGAGCCAACAAGGACGGATGCTCTTCCCTGAGGGTTTAGGGCGGGGGAGGCCCCCATGGAACTCTCAGAGGTGGCGGTGGAGATCCCAGAAGGACGTTCATCCCACAGTGCTGGGCTTGCCTGGGCCACTGGAGGCCTGTGCCTGAGGCCACCCAGCTGCAAAGCTGAGCTGGGACAGGCCACGGCCCACGGCCTTCTGGGCTGAGCAACCTGTCAAAGCTTTGGCTGCTTCTCCCCCAAAATAAAGACAATAAATGGGGCTGGGGAACCTTCCTTCCTTTCAGAGCAACAGCATCATTCGAGAAAGCAAAGTGTTCTGGTGTTTTGTGGAGTCCCTGGGAAGGAAGGGGTTCCGCAGGGTGGCTCTGTTTCCAGGCAGCTGAGTGTCTACAGCCACCAACCCTAAGCGCCTGTTCTGTGCCAGACACTGTGCTGGGCACTTCCTGCTGGGACTCTGACAGCCAAGTATCAGCCAAGAGGCGACCGAGCCCTCTCAGAGCCAGTGGCTGCGACCTGTGAAGGTGGCGGTGACCGAGTTCTCACTAGTGTAACTCGTGGCATGAACCTGCAGCGTGACGGATGCCAGGGTGACAGAGACACACAGTTACGAGATGGATTAAGAAAAAGAAACAGTCGCCACGCCATCATGGACATTCACCACCGATGTGTCAGATGCTGGGACCGCATAAGAGGCTTTGCCAAGCAAATAATGCTTTGGACTTTTCATGAATTTTCCTACTTCTCACAGCATCAGAAAAAGTGGCGATGTGGACAGTTTTAAGTAAAAAGCACAAGAAGGATCGGCCTTCTAACTTAGAGTGACGCATCTCCTGAGATGGCAGCCATGGCTGCCGGTGTGGTCTCAGGCCTCGAACCCGCGGCATCCTACCTGGTTCGCTCTCTCCAGGTCCGTCATGATCATTTCAATCTCGTCGGCCCTGGGAGGAGGAGAGGGAGAGAGTGCGTTAGTCACAGGAGGTGGCTCAGAGTGAGGCAAAGGAACCGCTCACATGGGCGAGGCTGTCCCAGTGCAAGGGAGAGAAGGGCCGTGCAGACCTCTGGGGGGGTCTCCGCTGCCCACTGATGAGGGGAGGCACTACGGTAACCACATGTCTGGGGTCCACGGGCTGCCTGCCTTTCGGGGGCTCCCAATCCCAATGGGGAGACAGAGCCATAATAAAGATAAAATACAGTGTATCCCGCCAAGATTCAGACAGAACTCAGAACAGAGTGCTCTAGGAGAGGGGAGAGGTGAATTCTCCTGGGGGGGTCAGGGAAGGCTTCACAGGAGGTGATGAGTGAGCAGGGTTTTGAAGGATGAGTAGAAGTTTGCCAGGCAGGAGTTGGGAGAAGGAGCTCGGACAAGAAACTAGGCAGTGAAGGCCTCGCCGGGACTGAGGGGCCCGAGAGAAGGTGGCTGGCTGGGGGTCGGCAGGCAGGTGAGATTGGGGGTGCAGGTTGGGCAACCCTGCAGTCTGCAGCACACACCCCTGTGTTCACCATTGTCACCTGGCCTGCCCAGAAAAGCGGCTTTCCCAGTTCCATCCTGTTTTGCTTTTTTCTGTTTTAAAAGTACTTCCTTGAGCAATCTGAGGGCAAATACATGGTTCTGATACAACACCATGTGAGAGGAACCCTCAGAGTCCTCCTGGGAAGGGCACGGCCAATTCCAAAAGTACCTGGAAGGTCAGGTTAGGACCTGGGACAAATCACTGTCCCAACGTCTGTGAGCCCGGTCCTGAGGACGGCTCCTGCTAGCAGGCCACAGGCTGGGACTGTCTGTGACCCAAGGGAGGTTTTAGCCCATGGGCCGTAGAGCGGGATGTTACAGCCACAGAGACCCTGCCTGGCGCTCTGGGCCCTCCTGCTGTGGCCTCCTGCCACCTTGCTCCAAGTCCACGGCACCTGCTCTCTGTGGCCCGCAGGCTTCACCCCACCCTCGCTGTGGGCACGGCCCTCCTACACCAGGCTGCTGTTCTCAGGGCTGCACCCGCCGCTCAGCCCACGTGCTCCAGCAGCCCCCTCCACGTGCAGGACCCGGAAGGGCCAGGCTCCACCTGCGCCGCCTGCCTGGGCGGCACCTCCTTTGTCCCCACTCTGCCGGCTCTTCCCAGCCCCTCCCAGTGGCTCCATTTCTGGGAGTGGCATGATCTCTTCTTCCTAGTTTGCACGTTTGAGTTTTCATTTGATGCCCTCATACTCAGTGAGCTCTCTGAAGCCCAGGCTGGGTGTTGCCTTTGCCCTATACCCACAGGACTTCCAGCCAGACTAGAGGCCTGAGTCCCCAGTGTGGCCTGTCCTGCCAGCAACAGCCCAGGGCACCTGGACAGGCCTATGGGAGTTCTTCCTTCCTCCTGAAACCTGTGTCACTTGTTCTAAGGGGGCACAGGCTGAACAAATGTGCCACCCTCAACCCACCCCTCCGCTGGGGTTTGTTTGTCCCCGTCAAGGCTCATATTGGTATTTGATCCTTAATGTGGCTTAGTAGAAGGCATTTGGGTCCCTCATGAATGGCTTGGTCCTGTCCCCCTGGTAGTGAGTGAGTTCTCACTCTGATGAGACTGGATTATCTCTGGAGGGAATGGGTTAGTGCCCCGCACACAGGATGCAATAAAGCCAGGGCACCCCTTGGGTTTCCCTCTTGGCACTTGTCTGCTTCCCCTCTGCCCTTCTCTGCTGCATTGTGACGCAGTAGGAACTCCTCACCAGAAGCCAGGGCCGTGCCCTTGAACTTCCCAGCCTGTACAACCGTGAGCCACATAAACCTCTTTTCTTTATAAATTACCCAGCCTCAGATATTCTGTTACAGCAACACAAAATGGACCCAGGCACATCCTTGATCCTGAGAGGTAGAAAAACTGTCTTCAGGCCCCAGGGCTGGTCTATTTTTGTGGCCTGAGGCTTCTCCAGCCTTTAACTGCACGCTGTGATTTGAGGCAATCTTATCAACTCCCGGCAGCATGAACAGGGTAACAGACGCCTTGTGATCAGGTTCAATGCTCATTGTATCTGTTTGAAATAATATCCGGCTTTCAGACTGGTCTGAGAAAAAAGTCTGGAACAGCTCATCAAATGGCCTAGTTAAATGAAGCTATTTTTAGGATGATTTCATGAAGAAGGCAGTGTCTCTGTAAGACAAATACCCACGCTGGGCCTCGGCAGTGAAGTGCTGGGTGCAAGGGGGCGGAGGGAGGTCAGGGGTGGCTTAAACTGCAAAACATCTCTCTGCGTCATCTCAAACTGAAACCCCCAAGATCTTACAGAAAAACTGCTGTGCAAAGATAGTCTAAAAACGACAAAGGGTTAAAAAAATCATTACAGTGTTAAGGGTCTTAACCACGCAGAAAAGACTAATCAACAGTCAATACAGACAGCGGCTGCCTTGACAACCTGTTATTGAAGGACTCAAAGGGTGGAACCCTCTCAGATACAAAATGAAACTAAAAGCTTCTAAACTTTCCTTAAGGCAAATCACAAGTTTTAAACACAGGTTTGAACTTTAATCAGCCAGTTATTCACCGAGTATTTACAAAGTCCAGGTGCACATGGAGAACTTTGCTGGCTCCCGGCGCCATCACTCATTCGCTGGTTCATCCGTGAATGTTTCTGAATGCTTCAGACATTTGCAGGTCTTCTGGTGCTGGGACAGGCGCATGGAGACACAGACATGGCTCCTGTGTATCTTGGCAGCGCCGCAGTTTTAGAAGAAAAAGATGGAAATACATAGCTACTGAGTACCCAAAACGAGATTTGCAGGAGGTGACAATGTCCAGCTCCTCTCACGAGCTCAAGAGCAGAGCTGGCAGCAGAACAAGGGAGGTGGATGGGTCTAGGTAAGGACTTTGACTAACTAGCCCCTCCTGCTTGCTCCCCCCAAAGCCCTACTATCCCTCTTTAATTCTGGCTAATTTATTTTCATTCAAACATTTCTTCTGTTCTGTTAGGGGCTCCTATTATTTGGATATTGTTGGCACACCTGCTTCTGTCTTCCACATCATTCAATCTTTCTTTTATGTTTTGCTATTTCTTTATCCTTTCTTGCCGCCTTCTCAAAGTTTCTTGAACTTGATTTAACTTGTCTCTAGCAGTACCCACAGTGCAATTTATCCTTTCTTTTTTGCTCCTTAGCTTAGTTATTTGATTTTTCATACCTGTTATTTCCATTTGGTTCATTGGAAAGTTACTCCTGGTTTTTACTTTACATTGCTAACATATTCCTTTATTTCCCTGAGTGCATTTCTCATGCTTATTTCGTTTCTGAGGCCTATCTGTACAGCTTCAGATCACATACACTGTTGGGCTGGGGTCTTTCAGAGGGGCTGTTTTCCTCTGGGGCCACAATAGAAATGACTAATCAACAGTCAATACACAAAGCTGTTTCTGCTGTGTTCTCAGGGCCCCTTGGGGGTACCAGCTATTCTTTCTGGCAACATATCTGGGGAGAGGACAGAGAAGCCAGCCCTGCTCTGTGTGTCTTAAGACAGAATGAAGAAGAAAAACACATAGTAGGTGCTCGATATATTTTTGCTGAATCAAGGAAGGAGGAAGGGGATGACCCCAGACCCCCAGACTCCTCACTGGTGACCCCCTCTGCTGCTCCTCCACCAGGAAAACCCTTGGAACTTAATCCTCTGGGAGAAGTAGTACCAGGATGAGGCAGTTCCCCTGAGTGTTGGCCTACCCCGCTGTTTTCATCCATTCCTCACTCCTGGCCTGGCTGTTGCCAGTGTCCAAGGGATCAGGACTCAGTTCCACCCCAGGCATGGAGAAGAGAGGGGTTCTGCAGAGGCCAGATCTTCGGAGTGGGGATCCCTGGTAGCTGGGAAGTGGCGTCTGGATCCTGCCAGGTTTGTGAAGCCTGGGAGCCTCCTGGCAAATCCCAGCATAGACTCTGGATTTCTTCTCAGATGGTGAGTGGCTTTGGATATTCATTAGGAAACCTAATATCCAGAAAACCATGCCTCATCTCCAAAAGATTTCAAGTCACTTATAAAAACTTAGTCACATTTAAACAGGAAGGTGCAGCCTTGGCAGTTTGAGGCAATCCCTGGAAATGAATTGCAAGTTTTCCATCTACTGGTCAGTTTCACTTTGGTTACTAAGCAACTGATAAACTGACCAAAATATTTAATGCGATAACAACGGCTGTACTTACCTTTCATTATGAGAGCAACTCTCGTCTTTCCCAACCTTTCTAATGACAACGACAACACTGAGCTCTGAGGCTGCAGGGCAGGCCTATTCGGCACCAGGTCTCCTGGTGACAGCTGGGCCCGGCAGTTCCCACTCACAGAGGGGACCAGAAACCACAGGAGGAGGCAACGGGAGGAACCAGGGAAGCAGTTGGCGAGGAAAAGCTCGGATTACTATTTTCACTGTTCTTAGGGGGCATCATGCTTTTTAAAGGCGCCCCCCCCCCCAAAGAAAAAACCAAAACAAAGTAGCTGGGTGTTTAAATACGATTGGGGTTTTAAAGATGGGAAGCGTGGCCATCAGCACCTGCGGACCAGGACCAGGACGGCGGGTCTGGCCTCGGAGCACCCTGTGCTCAGCTTTCATAATCCCCCCCCAACAAAACTCATCCTGCCAAACTGTCCTGAAGAAGTAATATGAAAACGCCCAGGGGTTAACACCACAACTATAAATGTTATCTCAGAAGTACAGTCATGAATTAAATTGCGTGGGCTCCCACAGTGTGAGCGACAACAATATTCCAGGGACTTTCATTCTTTCCGTTCTGAAGGCTCAACTACCCCATCAGTACCTGGAGCCTGACATTAGCCTAAAATCATTTATTTTCGAAAGTCCGTAATAACCGCACATATTGTTTGCTCAGCAAAGCGATTTATTATAAAAATTTAGTTCTCTCACCTTTTTACGAGCTGACAAAACAGCTTCCACTGATCTATTAACCTGCACACGGCATTATGCGCCGCTC